ATACGATTCTAAGCAATTTAGATTTGAGTGAGAATAAAAGATACTGGTGTCATCAGCGAAAAGTAGAGGGTCTGATAATTCAGAGGCATTAGGAAGGTCATTAATGTATAGAATAAACAATAGTGGGCCTAAAATCGAACCTTGAGGGACACCACACTTGATGGTTTGCATCGGAGAGCAAGCTTGATTGAATTGGACAAATTGCTGGCGGAAAGAAAAGTAGCTTTTAAACCACTGCAGAGCCACGTCACGGATACCATAGTGCTCCAATTTGGCAAACAAGATTTGGTGGTCGAGAGTGTCGAATGCTTTGGAAAGATCTAGGAAAACACCCACCGTTGTTTGGTGTTGGTCGATTGCAGATGCAATTTTGTTTACCAAATGAATTAGCACGTGCGATGTTGAGTGATTTTTCCGAAATCCGAACTGACAGCGGTAAAGTATATCGTGTTTTTCGGCAAATTCTACTAAGCTATTGTATATGACTTTTTCGAAAAATGAGGAAAATTTTCGAAAAATTTGGAAAGTTACTTTAATGATGGCAAGAAAGGAGAGCTGTTAGGCATGTTTGAATCTGCACCTTTAGAGCAAACACGTGTTGCAAGGTTTCAGGCTGAAGAACATGATGTTGTCTAGATCACAAATCTTTTAATCTGGGTCTGTACAATTAAAGTCTATATGAAGATGGTCCTGAGTTCAACTGCCCTGAGCGGGTTCAAATCCCGCTCAGGGCAAATTTTCTTTTCAAACATTTATTCTATTTAAGTGTGATTACTTGGGGTGTACAGGGTCAGGGTTTCCCTCGTGTACAGAATTTGAAGATGGTCCTGAGGATATAAAAAAATATATTTAGTTTTAGAAAAATTAATTATAGTCTTAGGGGAAGTGGATATTAGATTACGAGCAGTCCCTCCTTTTCGGCGAAGTCCATCATGCGCGTCAAAAAAAATATCAGTGGAAAAATGTTGATGTTAGCACGCCGCGGGAAACGTTTGAAGTGATGAAGTGACGCGGATGCGCCTCGCATATGGAGCTCCTGCGGTGCATTACCGTCACTTCTAGAGTACCCCGTGGCGCGCCAACAGCAATTTTTTTTTACCTTTTTTTTTAATCGCACATCGAACTTCGTCGAAAAAGAGGGGTTGTCCGTATTCTAAATGAATACAAGCTAGCTCTACCTAAGTTTAAGTTATTGTGGAAGAAAAAAAACCATTAGCTGTTTTACTGCGAACGTCTGGAATAGTCCTCTCAACAAAGTTCTTAACTCAGTGAGTCTAGCAGAATTCCAATTCTGTCTTGAAAAAGCTAGTCTTTAGACTCATTATTTCATTACATTTTCAGTATTATTAATATTTTCTTGATATTTCGTTTTATAATATGTTTGTAATTTACCTAATTAATTTATGTTGTTTACACGCGTTTTTATTTTGAACGAGTTACAGCTCCTGGACAATACATGTTTAAATCAAGAATTTTATTGTGATTGTATCCTTTTGATATTCTGTAATGATAGTTATCTATCTAACAAATGTACAGGGAAAATCCAACAACTTTATTCGTATATTTATACAATCTTCTTAGGACAAGAGAAGCAATTTAAGCGCTCATATTGATGAGTCATGTGAGGAACATCTCAGCAAAACTTGGTCCAAGTTGCTTAGGACAACAGAAAGGGTAAATGAGTTGCAGCAAGTAGAAGTTCACGTGAAAATGGATATAGAATCCGTGAAAAAGTCACTGAAGGAGGCCAAAGGAGATGTTGAACAACTTAAGCTGTCAGAAAAAGAGAGAGAAATTGAAAATCTGAAATTGAAAGAAGATGTATTACAGCTGCAAAGGAAGCTTGAAGAATTGCGTTACCACGTCGTTTCACCAAGAAAGGATTTCCTTCAGTTTGCTGGGAGAGGGGAAGTGTCTCATAACGCTGAAGAAGTTTTGATGAGAACCACGACATCCCTCGGGAGAAATACGAATTTAGAAGCTGATCAATGTTCCCGTTCCATAAAATCAACGTAAGCATTTGAATTTATTACTTTCAAGTCTGATTTCAGGAGCAATGTACATAAGTCAATATTTAAGAAATGCTGAAATCTACCCGTAAGTCATTTTTGCCATAGTTTTCTGTTCAGTCGGGTGTGAAAGCTATAAATGATTTGTTCAGATCCTTACGAACCTCCCAGCAAGTTCTGAAAAGAACACTGAAATGGCTGGCAAGCTATCTCTTTGTAAAACATAGTTCTCTCTGAACGCTGCTCAGCTCCGGCTTTCTTTAACAACTTGCAGAAAACATATATAACTAATGGAAAATGCGAAAACATAAGGCACGTAGGGCTTGTTCTGACTATAATTATTCATGTTATTGCCTCCTAGATCAATGCGAAAAGTTTCAAGTCGACGTTAGTGTTAAACCTCACAGTTACATTTAGTTTTATTTGCGTTAACGGGAACATTAGTTTCACCGTACGTAACATCAAGACACTTTCCTTTTGTGAAGTAGCATTTTCTAGTTCTCACGTTGTCACTCCACCATGTATGATTTGGAGATGGAACTCAACAGAAAGGTCCAGCAACGGAGATTGTCGCGGTTAGCGTTAGATAAGTTTGATTTTAAATCATTTTAATGCCCTTGTTTTATTATCATGTTTTGTACCGATCAATTCGAAGCTTCAATACAACCCCCGGGTAGCCTACGGGCATTCGCCTGTCGTCCATGCACCGGGGGTGGGGAATTAAACCTTGCCTGGGTGGGGTGGGGAATTAAACCTTGCCTGGGTGGGGAATTTGAGTCAACGAAATAAACGTGTTTTGATTTTTAATTTGGAGAAGTTCAAAGGAAACAGTCCGCTATCGTAAGGAAATGGCCTAGGAGAAAATTGAAACAGGGTAGAATGATGCTTAGGAACGAAAAAAACAAACAACGGCACCAAAAACTAAAATGAGGGCCTCAATAGCCGTTAAGCGTAAAAATTGACAACTTTTAACCATTAGTCGTAACCAAGAGTTAACTCAGTGTAAAAATTTGTCTTTTAATTACCGTGACAAGGGAAGGAAGGAAATTAACCGTTAGCCGTAAAATGGCCAAATTTTAACCGTTAGCCGTAAAAGCCATCACCCGCACCCCGTTGTGTGACATTTGTCGATCACACAAAGAATTGTTGAATAAGAAATTGTTCTTAGTTGGGGCATCTGCACGCAAATTTTAGTAGGAGGGCGGAAATTTTAACGAACCAATCTAAAAAGTTCGAAAGCCTGTGGGATTGCTCGGGGGGACGTTGAAGCTTCGAATAGATCGACACATTTTTTGACAATATTGTGTTCACAAGGCAACAATAGTAGATACTTGTTAAAGACTGCAAATGTCCTATTATAATTATGCTAAGAATTTTACTAATTTACTGGCTAATTCATTGTCGTTGTTGTTTTTATGTTTGACTTTTAATTTATATTTAGTTACCTTGAGTTGCATACTTGAATTGAAATACCGAAGAACCACCAACTTGATTAACTATTTTACCCGTTTGCCAGGCGTTGTTTTTTTAATATTTGGAAACGACAGCCTTTATGCATACGTCTCCTGTTGCTAATTTACTAACTTAAGAATTGGGCATTCATAGCGAATACCGAAGTAGAGTCGAAGATCACACATCACTCCATGATGCTCTCGGCTATAATTTCACAAGGCTGGTATTTTCAGTCACCTAAGAGTTTTGTAATGGAGATTTTTCAGAGGTTTTCATCTTTTCGAATCTCATTGAAAATATTCCGTCAATCCAACTAGATACTTCAAAGCCACAATCAAATGCGTAAGTATAAAGTAGCTGAAGGGTTTGGTAGAAGCTGTGGGAACAAGAGATTTGTCAGTATTGTCCACTCTGCCAATAATTTACCCTTGAACTAATTATTCAACAGTTAGCTCTCTAAGAAATAATTTGGAAATATCAACAAAGTTGAAATGGTAAATTAGCCACCGTAATGATTACAAAAGCTGACGTTTCGAGCGTTAGCCCTTCGTCGGAGCGAATAGAGGAATTGTGGGTTGTGTGTGCTTTTAAAGGCAGAAAATGGAGCTACGTTATTGGTGGGAGCATGGCAACGAGAAAAACATGAATAAATTAGTGGAATGAAAAGCGTTCGTTGATCCCTGTGGGATTTAGACTGCCGGTTTGAAAGATGAGCTTTTGTTCAAGATTTTTACGGCTTTCCGTGCCACCTAAGTGCAAGGAAAGACCGCAGATTGCCATATGTTGCTTAGAATGATTAGGTAAATTAAAATGTCTAGCGACTGGTTTCGATGTGTCCTTGTCATTCCTTTCCACGTCTCGAAGGTGTTCTCGGAATCGGTCACCTAGTCTTCTGCCTGTTTCGCCGATGTATATCTTTTTGCAATAAGTGCAAGTTATGCAATAGATTACATTGGCGGAGGTGCACGTGAAGTGATCGGTGATCTTAATGGATCGTTTAGGGCTCTAAGAGCCTATACACTCGTTCTTTTCTTTTGTTTTTTTAAGTGTTGTAGTTGCTCGGCAGCTCACCAGTTCAGCCGTGTTGAAGTAGCCTACTTTTAAAATTTTATGATTGGGAGATGTCCCGTTTCCGAAATATACGCGATCGAAATTTCGTTTCAAAGGAAGAATTTCACGGCAAAATAGAGATACGATGCTAGAGTAAATATGTTTGCTGTTCATAGGGTTTGTCCCCTGGCGACATTTCTGACATTTCTGATCATCTAAGAATGATCTCATTGCTCAGTCGCTCGATTGTTGTTACGTTTCCGTGCTACCTAAGTGTAAGGAAAGACCGCAGATTGCCATATGTTGCTTAGAATGATTAGGTAAATTAAAATGTCTAGCGACTGGTTTCGATGTGTCCTTGTCATTCCTTTCCACGTCTCGAAGGTGTTTTCGGAATCGGTCACCTAGTCTTCTGCCTGTTTCGCCGATGTATATCTTTTTGCAATAAGTGCAAGTTATGCAATAGATTACATTGGCGGAGGTGCACGTGAAGTGATCGGTGATCTTAATGGATCGTTTAGGGCTCTAAGAGCCTATACACTCGTTCTTTTCTTTTGTTTTTTTAAGTGTTGTAGTTGCTCGGCAGCTCACCAGTTCAGCCGTGTTGAAGTAGCCTACTTTTAAAATTTTATGATTGGGAGATGTCCCGTTTCCGAAATATACGCGATCGAAATTTCGTTTCAAAGGAAGAATTTCACGGCAAAATAGAGATACGATGCTAGAGTAAATATGTTTGCTGTTCATAGGGTTTGTCCCCTGGCGACATTTCTGACATTTCTGATCATCTAAGAATGATCTCATTGCTCAGTCGCTCGATTGTTGTTACGTTTTCCTTTTACTTCGTTCTCAGGAAAGATTAACTATCGATGTAAGGCCAGTAAGCTACAGAACATACCTCGCTTCAACGATATTATGGAATCAACCCTGATATTCGAAATACTGACGCTTACCTGGCTTGCTCCTCTAGTAGAAATTATGAGATTTGAAATGCATCGTGGGATCATTACTCGACTCCCTATGCAATACCTGTGGTGTACTAAATATACCGAAACAGAATCAAACCAGATTCATTGCATTTCTTACAGGCACCGTAAGGAATCTCATAATTATCTGAATTATGGAAAGAAGTCTTAGTATAGACGGTCACTTTGTCACAGACATACATGTGCAGGCTAATCTAGACCTGTAAAGCCTTACAACACGAAACTGTCGTAACAGTCACATATCACGAAGCGCATTGAAATTACTCGACCCTTACACTCACTTTTCATTAATATTCAACTTCAAAACGTACTGAAAAATTGTGCACAAACTCTCTGCTCAACTGATGACGTATGACATTGAAATACACGGTTGTAGTAGGACTGAGTAGAGTCCAATTCGGTCTGCATTCATACGAGTGATTGACGCGGGACTCCGATTTGTCAATCACGAGTATGATTACTGAAACGTAGCATCGAAAGCAGAGAAAATTAGAGCAGCCACAGTAAAATAAAAAGACAGGAACAAAAAATCTAAATGATAGAGGTGGATCTGAATACATCATATGTTTGTTTAGAGTTAGATTCACTTATTTACCAAAGTTACCCATCCTATTCCAACTTACCACAACTTGCCACAACCATTGCAATTTCCGAGAGAAACAAAATGTATTCATTAAAGAGAGGGCTTCAGTTGATTTAGAGTAAGAGTGGACGGTATGGATAAGGGGGCGGAGAAAGAGACATGAAGATTTCTACTGTCCCACCCCTCCCCTCTCCTTCCTTTTGACCGTCCCTCATCCCTTTGGTACAAATTTCGCACAATCCTTCCGCCGCGGTTAACATCGAAGAGGGCAGCCATAATTTTCACCAGGAAAACACTAAGCACTCGCTTGCCAACCTCACGCATGCTCCGCCAGCTATTGGAACACGGCTTCTCGTAGTTTTGGAAATCCCCAGCTTGGGGAAGGTAAGCCATTGCTATGGTTAATGTAGTCAGCGATAGTCGTGGATTCATTTGAGCATTCATAATGTAATTTGTTGACGTAAATGTACGATTAATGAGTATTGATATAGTCTGCGATCTACAATACAAGTGTTCTGTTCCAAACCGACAATCGCCGACATTGTTGGCACATTGATCTTTTCAACCCCTTATTTCTTCACATTTAAGTCTTAAGTCAAATCAACCTACTTACTCCCTCCCCCAATGTTGTATCGTGATTCCATGAACTTTCAGCCATCGTTGAATGGGGGGGGGGGTCTGTTAATGATTTAGAGTGTGTTAGAAACAGGACTGATTTTCTTCACATAAATAGAACTCTTCAAGAAAATATGTCAAATAATTTTGACGCTGATTGTAGACCGTATGGATTAGAACTGAAAACCAATATTTCAATAACGAAAGTAACAAATGAACAATAGTTTCTTTTTCATGAGAAAACCTGCGCTGAGCTAACTTCTACGGTAGGTCCGTTTGATCCATTAACTCATCCCAGGTATGCCATGATTTATAATGGTAATTGAACAGAGTGGAGTGCAATTTGGGCTGAAATCATGCGCGTGATTTCAAAATTGAACGAGCGCGCAGCACGAGTTCGATTTGAAATCACAAGTATGATTTCAGAACAAAATTGCACGACAACAGGTTCAATTACCACTTTATTACATCCATTTTGAAATCGCCCAAATACAGGACTTGGTAAATTCAAATATTTTATGGATGCAGTACTAAGCCAGTTTTTAAATAAAAAGAGGAACTGGAAACGCTTAAATTACATCTTATTTTGTATGCAAAACAGAAAGACTTTGACATCATGTGTCAAAAACTCAGTCAAGCGTAAAATGATGCGATTTAGAGCAAAAAATAGTGCGATTCGTGAATAAATCGCACCAATTAGAGCCAATTAGATTTCAGGGACCACCAATGATTTCAAAATGGATGTCATAAAAATAATTATCTTAAGACATTTTTTACGTACATAGAAATATGTGTCCACAACAAGCAGCAAAAGTAGATAAAATCAAATCCCAGTAACCTTCCCTGTCACACACTAGTGCAGTAGTTGATAACGAAAGAAAACCAGCAATGTTTAGTTAAGAACTGTAAGATGCAAGTTGAGATTTGTCTTAAGTAACAGATTCATTGCTTGTTGTCTTAATCCTTCCTCTCCACGTCCTCATTAGTAATTCTCCTAACTGCCTGTCATACAATCCTCATGACATTGGTTTGGAGTGTTTGGTTTGAATCAACTATAATCCCCTTTTTGATACATACAGCACTTGTCTGCTTAATATTGTATTGATATAGCGAGGAGAGATTCTGTCTTGGTCATTCATAGGAGTTAAAGGGTTAATGTTACTGTAGACCTTCATGGGTTCTTTCGGATGATCGCTTGTTATTCTGAAATCCCTGGCAAATTTGATCGTCAAAATAATCGGCCCTCTAAGGTCTACAGCAACCTTAACTCTATTGCTACTTACTGTAGGCTTCCAGTGACTTCTGCGTTTAGCTGGTTTCATTTTTAATGTAGGAATATTCATGTTACACCTTGTCTCGATTGGTATTTTTTCGCAGTGGGTTGAAGAAGTTTGTGATGAATTCAGTACGGTTTGATTTTTTATCTTTGTTTATATACACTTAGTTTTTCTACTTCCATATTGATGATCACATTTTTTCATTAAAAAAAAAGTTCAAAAAGCATTATGCAATTTCTTTCCCCTCCAATTTCTCACGTTTGCTGTAATATTTGAGTCGTCACTACTCTTGAATACGCTATCAAATTATATCTCAGTATTACAATACTCATTTTAGTTTACTACCGGAAAAATGTCATTTTCCAGTCTGAATCTCAATCCTGAATTATATAAATTTGCAACGGTTTAGATAAATAATCTTATAATTTTATACTGAGCCTATAAACTACAAGGGTTTCAATAACTTTTTCCATGAGCGCCTTCCGATGATGTATTAGGTGGCTGTGCCCGGAAAACAGGGTTTGTTGTTAAGCTCCCCCAGAGAGGAGATTTGAAATCTTGTAGCTTGGAAATGTATATATTTCCAGCATTCTAGGCATCTGTTGGTAGGATACCCAAAAGGCGGTATGAGGTTATTGAAACCCCTGCTTTCTATTTTTAGGGGATAATCTAGTCCAAAAAATGGTTTGTTTCTATTCTCAGAGTAAACTACATTTCAGTCCTTTATACTTTGTCTCTGCCTCGTTAAGTCGATAGCATAAGAACATTACTTTTCAGAGCAACCATCCGTGGAGTTTTTCGGTGTGCTATCGATAGTTGAACTTTTTTACTCTTCACTGTCATTCAGATGAAGAACCGCGTTGGTTTTATCTTCTAGCAATTTTGAATTCGTTGGCGTGGTTCTCTTCTCCCGACTATGATCTGGCCCTTCTGAATCACTGTCTGATGCGTCTGAACAGCTATCACCCTGCAGGACAGTACACAGTTCATGATTGGGTATCCAGGTTTTTCGGTGTAAGGATGTAATATTTGAGGAGACACTGTGGCCGAACGGTCGGAGGGGGGGGGGAAAAGAGAGGTGGTTTTGTAATCTGGTGGTCCCGGAATCAAGCCTTCCACCCTGCTAATCTCTGGGTTTGTTCTCCGTTGTTCAGAGTTCAACACCCTGTCCGCCCCTTGAAATAGTTTACTTATTTGTTTGTTCCGGGAAGATGGAATTTTTAAGCGCTATCATGTTTGTTCACATTAATTGTTTCCGATCTGATCGGCCGGAAGGGGGGGGGGTCAGGTCACTTAATATTATCAACATTATCATCATCATTATTATTATTATTATTGTTATTATCATTATTATTATTATCATTATTATCATTATTATTTTTATAATGCAGAAAAGGAGTATCAAGAGATCAAGAGGACATGTGAACCAAGCGACCAGTTACTTTTTTCCCTTGAGAAACCGTTGTTGATAGGTTCAACCTTTACTTTAAAGATTGAATCCCTCTAAATTGAATTGCCACCTGTAATACTAACAAGCAACGGAGAAAGGTCCAGCAAACTAGATCAACTTGAACAAAATAGAGAAACACCGCATACAAACCTCAGAGAACATGTCTTTATATGCATCACCCCTCTTTCCTAGGATTGCTAGTCTGTTTATAGCTATCACTTTCTTCAGGGATTTCTATAAGAGGATAAAATATTTGGCATGGTGGAAATCTCATAAAAAAGTTTCGTAAAAGCTGCTAGCGCTATGAATTTGAATCAAAGGTTATACACTAAATTATTTCATAGCTCTTTCCTGATTAAATACATGCAGCCTTAGAACAATTCAATTCTAAGAGCCGTTAATTGTTGGCATAAAAATACATACGCGACTCGCATCCTCAGTATCTCAATACTCGAACAGTTCAGGGTAACACTGAAGTGCTGCCACTTAAATTGTCTAAGATTAAAAGAATCAGTAATTTGACATCATGTTTTCTCATTTTACCTTCCAATGTGTCCTGGCCAGAAATGCCTTAAAAGTGTCTGTTTTGATTAAGGTGGTCTTTCGCCTCTTAGCTGCTTCAGGTTCCGTCTGGAATCGTAAAAAAAGTCAATTAGTGTTTCAATAACACGGCACAAGAGGAAGAGACGTTGATTTTCAAGAGTGACTTTCACAGTCCAGGGCGACTTATTAATAATCTTGCTGACCAATAAAAGATGTGCCACACCGCCAATAAAGTTTTGCTTAGAGAGAAAGGATTGCAATTCAAACTGTGATATAATATTGCTAGCCTCAGAATTACATAAAATAAATGATACTTTGAAAGTTTTGTACTTGCATATTGTCAGACAAATATAAACTTCAAACCAAAGTGGGCATGAGCAGCCATCTCTCCTTAAAAGAGAGAGTTTTGGGGAGCAATGGCTCCTACGCTCTCTTCAAAGAAGGCAAAGGAATTCATCAGTTCATTTTAGGGCAAAGCGAGATCACTGAGATCTCTGAGATTCACATCAGGAGTACAGTTCCCGCTCTCCCTTAGTACACCAGAGATATTCGTGGGTAAATAAAATATGTATATCTTTCTTTCTACCCTTTTCTCCAGACATGAACCCAGCCAAAGGTTCTTGCTGTTTACGAGGGCGCGCGCGCGGGTTGTAACGTTCAGGTTAATAGTCAGTCTACCTCGTAGTTCTTTAAGAACAAGGTCCCAAAGGTCTTTCTCATTTTGTGGTTATCTTAACTACACTTCTACCAGCTGATGGCGGTTGGTTAGGACACATCACGTGACGAAACGAACATGTTATACCCAATAATAATCCCAAGTGACATTCTTTGATTTTTAAACCTCAAGTTCATTTCGATGACAGTTTTTGTTAACGATTTAAGTCTAGCTGGTAGAGCACTTTTCCTTTGTTAAGAGAGAAGGTGTACCCTTTTTTCGTATATCTCATGAGATAGTAACTGCAAACTCAGTCCTTCAGCAATTACCTTCAGCCAGGGATGTGTCAAACAATCTCTTGCAGATAATCTATCACTGAAATAATAAATTACAATAATGTTGTTTTAAAAAAACAAAATATTACATGGAAATCGAAGCTATCACTGACATTCACCAAGGCTACTTCAGAATGCAATATTATTACTGAACGTGAAAACTGTAATGTACACTATACAAAAGTTCTGATTTAAACCTTATTAGGGAAGGTAAATTTTTTCTTGGGAAGGGAGGGGAGGGGGGAAGCTGGGGCTTCAGAGGGTAGGGACATCAGTGAAAGTGAGCACCAAAAGGTGAGGGTCATACCTCTTTGTAAGCTATTCAAGGGGAAGGTCACACACCTTTTCCACAATTTTATAATGAGGATTTTTGTGATTTGCTTTCCACTTTTCTGACAAATTAAGTTTTTCTTTTCACCTTTTGAGAGTCAGATTTTGCATGCTATAAAACAAACAAACCTTATTTAAATAATCAACAGCAATGGCAGCTAGTTGGAGAAGGAAGTGCATGTATTTTCCCTTTGATATTTTATGTTCAAAACTTTTATAATAGTCAAACTTTATACTGTCTTCCATATTCAAACTCCAGCTATAAAACATAAATATGCGACACTGATCATTGACATTTTCTTGTTTCAGCTCGCACACATTCAATATTGAAATATATTTATATTCAAACATTTTGCGTTCGCAAGTGAAATGTTTGTAGCTTTCTATGGCAGGGAGCATGCCATGTTAGTGAGGGGAGGGTTGCACTTTTGTCAGTCACCTGAAGGTGGAGGGTCAGGAGTTTTTTCTTAAAAAAAAAAGGGAGAGCCAACACTTTTTATGAAAAAAAAAAAAAAAAAAAAAAAAAAAAAAAAAAATCAAAATTCCCCTGCCCTCCCCCCAAAAAGAGATGTACCTTCCCTTAGGAGAGACTAGCATCTAAAAATAGGCTACTTATTCATACATCACACTCACCCTGAATTTTTAATTAGAAGGGAACTAATAAAATCTTTTGCTTGAGGGCTGATATCAGCAAAGTATTCCTCATCAAATCTATATTCAACATTCTGTATGTTAATGAAGGTTTCATTAGGGTCATCTCCAAGGAATGGGGATGCCCCACTAGACAGCCTAGAGGAGGAAAGATAAGTCATTGTAAGAGGAGACTTTGGGTCTGAGGAAGAACAGCCACTGGTGCAGTTCACTTGAGTTGCCAATATAAAAAGGAATTTCAAATGAAAGTGCATTAAACGCAGCTTTGTTAGTAAAGGTATTAAAAACTTGACGAGAAAACAGTTGACTGACTGAAGTATTGGATGAAAATGAGGATATTTGAAGGCTCTAAGGCTGGCTAAACCACAGGGGTGTTATCTTTTGAATGGTGTACCTTGACAAAAAATTTAAGAAGGAAAGGAATTTTGCATGTCACTATATTCTGGATAGCAATGCCTTAATTGTTTCCATGCAATGATTTCATAACTATCTCATTTGGAAATCTGAACATCAAAACATTGAAGAAAGTAAATTTAAGTACTCACAATATAAAGGTTAATACTCCTATTGCCCTATAAAAAGATATCAAAGGGGAAGTCAAAAAGCCATCATCCACCAGGTCAGTAACTTGGAATACATTAAAGAATTTATCTATTATTGATAGAAAATTGCCCTGGAATATGAAAAGGAAACTATAGTTGTAAATCCAGCAAAACTGGAACTATAGGACTAAAACTGGAACTGAGTAAACACTAAAAGAGTACATAGATATGCAGACACATGAAAAGAACTACAATTATATAATTTGAAGTTTCTTTAACACTCTCACATGGATGAATCACTAACTTAATAACTTCCTCCAAGCTCAATAACTTTGGGAGATCACTTTCATTGTTACAATATCACAAATACGTGCACTGCACCATATAAACTGCTACTGTAAGAATTGGTGCAGGTATTACCTCCTCCTAACCAAGCAGCCTAAAGAGCACACTCAGGCTTTAAATCCAAGCAGAAAAAAAAGAGGTTCCATAATTTACAGTACAGACCAAGAAAACAAGGCTAGTAAGAAATTAATCAAATGTCTGCATGGGTTCAATTAGAGGGTGAAATAATTCAATTCACACAAACTTTTGAATTCATGCAGTGGGCCATACAGTGAAATGTGCCCAAGTAAATTGACCAATCATAGCTCACATACTAACTGAGAGAGAAAATACAAAGTAATACTACAGCCTCACCACATATCTGTTGGTGTTCCTACTGGTTCATAGTTTATGACTTCAGGAGCTGATGAAACAACACCACAATAACATTTTGATACATTCAGTAAATTTGTGTTATGAACAGCAGTAAACTACACTCAGGCTAGCTGTAATTACCTACAAACTCTGGTGTACCAGTGATAGCTTTCACCACTTCTCCTGGTGGAATAATCTTTGCCAGTCCAAAATCAATCAGCTTCACTTTATTCTCTTTTTTGTTCTTCAACACAATATTCTCTGGCTAAAGAAAATTCAATGAAGAGTTGAATAAATAGACATACATATATTAAATACTCTGTTTTTCAATATTGACTCAAAAGATCACATCATGTTGGATATAAACAATCATAAGGTCTGAATATAGAAGAATGCTCTTCATTCAGGGCCATATACCAGAGAAGCTGTGCTGTTTGCTAAGTTCAAACATGACAATTATTTCATGCAGAGCCCAGTAGAAGGCAAGCTCACCCAAACAGCTATAAAAGTGCAGGTCTTTTCATTTGCAGATCAAAGAAGATGATGGTGAATTTTAAGCTTTGGCCAATTCAAGAGATTGTTAATTGGCTTATGCTGACTAAGAGAAAAAGAAAGATGGGATGACAGGCTGGTCATTCAAAGGCTGTGCAATGTGGATGACAGATTTTGTCAGAGGTTGTAATTATAATATGTAAAGAACAATGTTATGGGATTGCTAAGTGATATACATTGTTGCTGAATAAGATCTAGTAGATTCCTTTCCTCCTTGTCAATCTAATTAAAAATCTATTTTAAAAATTCACTATTTGCTGTGAAGTAAAAAAAAGGACAGGTTAAACCCAAGCCAATCAAATCACAGCATATGACCCACAAAGCAACCTTGACCCACGATCATCCACACTCATTTAAAGTGCCCATGACACTTATTTTTTTTCTATTCTACATCAAAATATAATGACTCTTAAACATGTTTTCACAACATTTGTGGTATTTTGCCCTTTTCTGAATTTTTTATCAATTAAGCTCTATAATCCACAGATAAAACATCTGGCCATGCAAAGAGGGACTGGGTGCCATGATGTCACAGTAGGAATCTTGTGGAGAGAATATTCTTCATGGAGTCAGGGGTATTCAAAAACCCCAAACTACACATCAAATTATGGCATTTTTTGGCTAAAAAGATTGTACACAGTAGCTTCCACACTCACTTTGCTTCTTTGATAACTTGGTGTTACTACTAGCTGTTACGTCATAGGTTCCAGTACTCTTTCATGCAGCCAAAGAGATAAAGGGAGCCTAAGTTTGATACAATTTTGGACTTTTATCGCCTCGTAAAATAACTAAGACGCATCAGAATCACCCACAAATCTTACCAGACACCCTTGACATGCTTCTATTTCTATAATTTAATGCTAAATAATAGGTGTCATACAAATGATAGGGACTTTAAGGGAACATAATATTTCTATTATGATTCAATCAGTCAGTTCTTTACCCCCTCATCTTTTCCTTAAGTTAAAATTTAAGGTTGTTAACCCATACTGTGACCACAAACCAAGCTTGATGAGCTGTCAAACTTTATCTGCAGTTTTTTACTCCAATTGACAAGTTCTTTTGTCCCAAAGGCTTGTTGCAATTTGTGTTGTGCTCTCCTAGAGCATCAGTTTTATGGGATTGTATTATCTATTTCATATGAACAAAGAAAACGAGTCTCCCACCAGTGGGAGACTCTTTTTTTTCATTGTCCCAGGATCATGACAGAACAATAACCATCTTTCTTTATTCCATAATTTATAAGGTAGCTTAAAAGAAACCATCTTACAATATCATAAGGGCTGGTTGTTTAAATGTCGAGGTCTAACCCAAACCATGGTTTTACCTAACCTATGGGCCTTCTCTATCAGAGGGTTGAGTTGATTAAATCAATGTCCTTCGACTGTTATTTTTCAGCCCATTTGACACTGTTCACAAAATTAAATGTTCAGATAAAAGGTTTGGTTAAAATGAAGGTAGTTTAGAACATGGTTTTGTTTAACAATGGCTAAACTCAGAGTTCCCATTAGTTTTGATAGTTAAGGGTCCTTGGGACCCCCAGTTCCAAAAAGTTTGGGGTCCTTTTAGCTTTTTTAGAGGTTCCCTCCCTTTTACTAAAATTTGATTTTAGATATAGTATCTAACAGAGAGGCAAAAGCCAAGACCAGGTGTTAACGCTATTAAAAGAGCTTTGATTTTGGACTAAAGTGTGCTCATGAACTTAACACCAACCATTTGTTTTTCGGTCGAATCATATTTTAACCATTGAAACTCCTCCAACGTAAGTTAGGACAAAATTTGCATTTCTTTACTTGGGTATCATCCCCCAGATCTGTATCACTTCCAGGTTTCCCCTTTCGAATATCGAATACATTGAATAAGCCCTTCTGAGTATACATGCTCTTGATCATGACAAAATGACGGGTCAAAGAACATGCCATGATGATTGCAGTAATTCTTGGGTAGAGCCCACCACACCCAGTCTCCTAACTAGTCGGAACCTTTTTCCTGTGTCCCAAGGACGCACATTGGCAAAAACTGTGCGTCCTTTTCATTTTTTGTGCATATAAGACGCACATCTGTGCGTTAACAGGAACTCTGTAAACTTTATTTAAATAAATGGCCCTGCATGAATAATTTTGTGTTTGCTGCCAATTAGTACCACCTCTCACTGTGAATTTTAAGCTCACTTACCACACAGGAGAAAGTTAATGTTTGTAATATACACTAGTATATGATTGTTTATAAAATATATAACTGCAATACTACATCAGCACCCTGATTGGTCAAAAAGGTATCATTTATAGCAAGGACAAACCCATGGAAAATTGAAGTTTATTTCATAAAAGCAATAGACCACACTTTGAATTCGTTTACATGCATAGTAAACCACCTTCCAACATCCCAAGTGGGTTTTGGTGCCAATAAACCAATAGAAAAGGTAGTATATTGCTAAATCCTTTCATTAACATGACTTGACTGTGAGAACAAAGAAAATCATTAAAAAAAATGGTAGCTGTGCTGGAACAATATAAAACAGACACCAGACATGGAAAAAGGATGAAAGGACAACATCCTAGATGACATAATTTTTAATCCAGCATCTTTTAGTCGCACAAATTATATTCTAAATTAACATTACGATAATCATAAAATATTGCATTAACATCAGGAAAAATTGCCTTGTTGGTACTTTTATGAAACTCTTTACATTTCTGGTTCCCCTCACCACACTATGTCATGCCAATAAGCAGTAAAGAGCCTTTTTAGTCTTTACTCCATTTAAAAAAGAAACCTGGTGACCTCATTTACTTGGAAAACTGAACTTGAATTTAATTCTTATGGACAACCAATTTCAAAACATTTGCCACTGACTGACAAAAACATGTACATTGTAATACAACAAATTGTTCAGTCATGTTTTAGTCACTCAGACAAAATGAAATGAACCAAAATTAAAACATTTCAAAACATTGTACAAGGACAAGATAGTCTACAGTTTTTTTATCTTTAACAAACAAAGAAAAGCAAATGCAACTAACCTTTATATCCAAGTGTATGATGTGACAGTCGTGAATATAATCAACAGCTTCCACAACTTGCTGTATAAAACCCATTGCTTCATTTTCTGTCAAATATTCTTGTTCAACCAAGAACTCAAATAGCTCTCCCCCACTCAGTCTGTTCAAAATTAAGATATCATAAATATAAATAACAGTTGTTATTTACTGTAATCATAAAAGTGATTGAAATAAAATATGCAATAAAAGGAGCACTCCTCTTGCAAGGTCTGCAAAACCTGAATGAACTGCATCCACAGACAATACTGAAGTTCCCTTGTGCACTTAAGCTCCAATTCATTGGGAAAAAAAATCGCCATTGGGAATGCCACGTCTATGTTTTCTTCATGTTTTTTTTTTTTCAATCTTCTTGTAAAAAGTTTTACTCCAGGAAAAATTGCAAATTTGGACATGCAATCTACTTAAATCTTGTACTGAAAATTTGTATATTAAACAACAATGGCAAAATGTTTATAGAATGAGACTCCTCAGGCAATACCTGTAACAACGAGATTATGTTAAAAAAAGTCTATTTAATTCTTTCACTTGCAGGCCAATAACAAGTTGAAACAACTGTTAAACTAGGACCTTCAAATGCACATATATGTAAGCCCCAAACATATGCACACGCACAATAATAAATACCACAAATGATCTGACACTAACTGAATGTCTCTGACACTGCATAACAAATACTACTAATGATCTAACATTAACTGTGTGCTTCTAACACTATATCATCACAATATCTAATTATCGTCACTTCGTCAGGCAACGTGGCACTTTTCATGCGACTAAAATGGAGACATTAGCGGGCTATTATATCTGACAGCAAAATATTGTTATCTTGAGGTTTTGTCCCTCACAAAGCATTTTAATACTATGCTTCAAAGCATAGGAATCCAAATCTTGAAAACAAAAGAAATGATTTTTTCTTTTGACAATTACTCAGCCACCTGTACTCTAATAACTAAAGGTAAGTTCAGTAGTAAAACAATAGATGTTTTGTTTGTGGGCATAAATATGTTTTGGGCCCAACTCAGTCATTTTAGCCTGTGTCCCTAGAAAAGGGTTTAAAGTGACTGTGAAAGGGCCCAAGGACATTAATTGTATTACTAGTATGATGAAAAAAAAAAAACAACAACAACTGAACACTCACTGAAGCATGAGAGTGTGCTGAAAAACATTATATCGATTTGAAATGAGATTCTTCTGTTTGACCTAGAAACTTGAACCTAAAAAATTAAGACACTGAAACCCTTAACCTTAGAACATCAACAAATCCTTGGGAAGCTCCCTAGGGACGCTGCAAAGAATGTTCCTGATTAAATCAGAACCTTATAACCCTGAACCCTAGCGCATAAGCTTCTGATTAAATCTGCAAATACCTCTTCATTTATAGTGCTAAGTCTTATTAGCTCGTCTTAGGTTCGAGACCCGCTCTAGTTTACATTTTCGGAAAATTGAGTATCAATTCAGAATCTTTTTATATTTTTCATTTATTCCGTAAAGTACCCTTACCCCGTGAAACACAGATCATTAATTATAAATTACTTGTTACTGATATGATTCAGCTAACATAAATGTTTTTCTTTCGCATACTCCCACTGGAATATTCGTGAATATCATTTTTAAGATTGTACACAAATAAATTACACACAAAAAAGAAACAAACAAAATACTTCGCTTAAAACGATAAGAATAGGAAAAATATTACAAGATGATAACTCACAATTCCAAGACAAGAGTGAATTCCGCAGCGTGTTCGAAAGCATCGTGAAGATAAATAACCCCATCGTGTTGAACCTTTCGGAGAAGCTCTGCCTCATAGGCGATTTGCTCTGCCGTCGCCCCTCGCCTCGAACTTAAGCTCCGTTTTTTCTTCACAAATTTAGCCGCAAATTCTGTATTTGTGCTTCTTTCCACGCATTTCTTGACTACGGCAAACTGCCCTCTAAAGTGTACCACATTTACACAACGATATAATAAAAATTCAAGTTTAAGTTGTATATTTACAAACTATAAATGTTCAAATATACAAGAAGCTTAAAAAAAATTAGCAGCCCAAACTTCGTCAATTTCGTCAAATTACTCACCGCCCAATTTCATCACCAATATCGTAAAAATCTTCAACTTTGTCCTTTCTGAAAACTAACGATTCCGTCATTACGTTGCTAATGAAAAACACAGTTGTGACCCGGCCGCGCGCTAATTCAATTCTGAACTGCCAATCTTCACCCACTCATTTTGTGGGTTTACCTCGCAACAGAAATGCAGGAACAGGTAATACGGACTGAGGACAGCGGACTACGGACCGAGGATGTACGACCAATAGCCTTGATCGATTATGAACTCTGCTCTAAGATATAAAGGAAGATTTCAAATCCATTCCATAACTGACTCTCATTTTTTCCTAATAGCCTTTTCTGGTTTTTTAACCAAATCAGACGAAAGAAAATTGTGAATCGAATGAAAAACAAGGAAGAAAATCACACAAATGAAACTACCAAACATATGGTACAAAATGAAAGAACTGAAAAAAAAAGTAAAACTTTTAGTTCACTGGGTCAGCTACTGTGTAATTCAAACGTGCGTGAACTTTTGACCTGAGCCCAAAAACAAACATTTCTTGTTATGTGCATGTATGGCGTATATTGATTTATTGTGCACTAAATTCTAGCATATCATAAACTCAAGTCGAGACATTTCCATCATCGAGGTTCACATTTTCTATCTAAAGCCATTTGATGAAATCAGTCGAAGACTCGAGACTCGTTGTTGTCGCTTCTGAGAATGTTTTTATTACATTTATTAAGGCCTTTTGGATAAACGGAATATCGGTTAAACGATCGGTGACCTCTCAAGGATGCTATTATTTCGCGCACGTAGAGCTTCAACCAGTATCGTTACTAGTATAAAGTTCTTGTGTTGAACAAGAAAAAAAGCCTGCAATCAATATCAAGCATTTTGTTTTAATGGAGGACCGCAAGAAATTCAGGGGTCACTGTTCGCTTTTTGGCACATGATCGATTACTAAAATCAACATCACAATATGGTATGATTAAATGCAGTTTGGTACAAACTTCTGTGATATGAAATTGTGAAGTCGGTGGATGTTGCGCTTCACTCCGAGATTAAAGAGAAAGATTTCACCAGAAACTTGGTATATAAAGTTACAAAATTCCCTCATTTCTTTATTCTTTTTCTTTCCGGATGTAAGGGCAGTTGGTAACCTTGTATGGCATGGGGTGGGGAGACATTCAAACGCCCCTGATTTACTAAGCGCGGTGAAAGCGACTATTCTTAATCTGGTTACAACACAAACGTTTCTTACAATATCATGTAAAACTGTACGACGCGAATGAGTCAATTATTAGAAATGACACCTTTAGCAAGTTAAATATTGTTTATTAAAAGGTCGGGTAAAAGTGGAGGAAACAAGAGAGTCCCCAGTTTACGCACTGTTTGATAGTCACACCTCAATCTTCACCGAAGGTTAAAGAAGTCTTTAATTGAATATCAAAAAACCAAACCCAAACAGATCAAAACAGCCAATTAGAATAAATGTCATCATCATAATGAGCCAATGAGGATTCTAAGTTATAGTAACAACAGGCAAACTGTCAAAAGGATGGGGAAAACGCGGCTGACCAAATTTCAGTTTTGCGTTTGATTAGTTCAGATGGAGGAATCTTTTTGACAGATCACAGTGGGAGGTAAGGCAAAACCAAAGTAATCTCGAATTACTTTCGACAATCAATTGAAAATCGCTCTGTCTAAATCCATGTTAACAACAACAAATCTTTGAGATTCTGACTAAAAATTTAGCACTTTCCCACTTTACCACAAGGTCATAAAAACTCAGAGTTTATTGGACCGACTAGAAGGGACTCATTGGTACGCAACAGGCCTCTTGTTTTCCAGATAATAGGGATTGGGTTATGAGTTGCTGGTCTGATTGAGAAAGATTGCATTGCGCGCGCAACTGAACGATAATTTATGTTGAAAGCTATTACGCTTTAAAATACCTGATTACAGGGAATAAAATACTAAGAATTGGAGTGACGCGGAAAAAGTAGAGTTTGAAAAAATCATCGGTGGAAATAAAACGAATTGTTCTCTTCCGGAGTTAGTCGGAACCCTCATGAATGAGCTTTAGGATTTTCTGCCACAATTGTGATTTGTAAACTACTCTTAACGTTAACTTTAGCGTTACAACTTCCCTCCATCTACGACCTTAAGGCTTTAAAATGATCGAACAAGTTTAAAATGCGCGGATCAAGATCAGATGTGAACAGCAAGGTTTCGAGCGAGCTCAGGTACTGGAACACTTGATTATTATTCTGAAATGAACAAATGAAATAAAGACAATTAGCGATTTCTGATGTTCCTCTCAGCACACACCCTTCAAATCCTAAATGCAGTTTTTCCATTCTCTATGAGGATTAAAGAAAAAGCTTGCAAGTTCCTCAACTAAGATTTTTGTTAATTTTCTACAATCTTGGCTATCCTTGTTTCTACCTGGTCTATTGTTACCTCCTGTGCGTTTTACTGTCTTACTGAGTTAATGTTTTGTATTCTCCTAAGAAATGACGGTGGTACTAGGCGAGTGGAAACAAAAAAGGACTGACAATCTAATCAACATTGCTCCTTTAAAAATGTTAATAATACTAAACAGATGCTAGTGACGATGATAATGATAACAATAATGATAATAATAATAGTAATAATAACAATAATGATAATAATATTAATAATGGTAAACCAAAATCCCCTGCTAATTACAGCATGATAATCACGTTATCTAACTAGCAACGCGATAGCTCTCCAACAACGAACGACTGCATGCCACTCAGGTGCTAGCCAGTTTGCCTATCTGTACATTATTACCGTTAAAAAAATTTCAACAACACACGTTATAATCTGAGTCAGCAGTTTTTGTATGAATCCTTCCTTATGTAACTTCTTTAAGGGCTAAGCCAATCCTAAGCTATCAGTAAACAATTTATCAACTTACCGTGATTAATATTTCTCTGAGTCTTTCTGTTGTGTACTTGAACCACTGAGTATTAAGATCCGTCTGTTGTTGCTCAGAACGAACAATATGCTCCGTCAGGATCATTATAAAACGCTGTAAAGACAATTGTAAAGACAGAGAACACAATGATCAGAAAGTTGTCATTCTTTCACAACAACAGTCTCTCATGACGAATTGCTTAATCTTAATCATTGAAATGATAATATTGACAGCAAAGGACGCATTTATAGGTCAATCTAACCAATTAATTCAACTTTTATTTTAAACAATCATTGACTACCTAAATTTTATTTTTTTTACAACATAATAACTTTAAATTGCTCTAAGTCCCACATACGAAAATCATGTTCTTTCTAACCTGGAAAACAATAAGGAAGAGTTGCTTTTGCGTTCTTTGCGCATTTTCCAGTTTTTCTGTAAGTTCTTCCAGCTGCTGTTGTTTTTTATTTAAATCTTCCGCTGCACCAGGTTCAAGGTTTGAATCTCCATTCACTTCTCCTGCCTGGCTCGAAAAGAAAACATACTTAAAACACAGAAACACCCACACACGGTTCTAGATCATTGCTGTAGATCAATGATGATTGTGCGTGTTCATGTGCATAAACTTTCCAGCGGTCGTCAGTAATGAAATAGAGAGGTAAAACGTTCACTTGTTAAATAAAGGGTATTCGCCCAAGTACGGGATTGAAAATTAATGGACCTCCAAGTCTCTTTACGAAAGGTGGTCGCACTGATAAAGTAACCGCACAGTGTAATCCTAATGTATAAGCTATTTCTTGTGCAAAAGTCACGATCTGTCCGAGTTTTAACTTCTTTTTCTGTCCGGGTTTTATCCTGAACAGGAAAAAAAGTTTCGCAATTCAAAAGAACACCACATTAGTACTATACATTACATTACATTACGTTAACAACACCACTGACCTGTTTCTTCGCTTTCTCCTCCAATTTTGCCACCTTTTCCTTGGCTTCCTGTACTTCTCCTGATACCTACATACACAATACATACACAATAGATACACAATACATACACACGACTTACAAATTTTAAAATTCGTTCGAATTATAGGACCTTTGATATACAACGTGCAATTCTTCCTACCTTATTGGTATGCTTGCTCATTTTCTTCAAGGTACTCGTCATTATTTCCCACACATATAATCTAGAAATAGAGTAAAAAAAATCGAATCATTCAACAGAAAGAGGTCGAACGAGGAGTAAATAACGAAAAGAAGAGACAGAGAATGTGTCAAACATGAGCCCCAAAACACAAACCACTGAGCGCACAATCTTTCTTGATGATTAGGTTTGCTCAAATGATAAACTGCAGCCAAGCAGCACAAGTACAAGTGTTAGGAAAGGAGAGAAGTCTGGATAATTGACAATTAATGTCACTACAGATGTTGCAATATTCATTTGCCTTTTTCCACTCCCAATATCTCAAGAGTAAACCTCCAAACTGTATGCCAGTAATTTCTTTTCATTTCAGTTCTGAGACTGAATTGGTGTTAAATAATATAATACCCCCTTGTTGGTATTTTTTGTACCTAATTCTGATCACCTGTCTCCTTTGAAGGGTATTGATTTTGTAAAGAGAAAATACTTTTCGGTCACTCCTGGGAGTGGAGGAGTTCAGCTACCGAATGGAGCTACAGAAGGAATTGCTTTTTGTGACGTTGAAAATGACCAAAGTTCAACTTTAAAACCGCAACATGTTAACAAATTGATTTTCAAAACCACGAGGGTTGATGTTACATTTTAAAATACACATTTATTAACTAAAGTCTTAAAAAAACAGCTGTATTGTTTTTCTAAATGCAGTAAATACTTTCCACATCCTAAAGATCAAAATGAAAACCTGGTCGGTTGCAAGCACGATTTCTTTTGATTCGTAAAAGTGAAATTTCTTCTGTAACATACCTTGTGAAGTTTTCCTTCATGTCCTTGGAAAAAAGCCAGTTGACAACTGCCGAACAGTCAGTGATCTGCATACGAACCAACTTATCTACCAGCACCACAACGATCTAAAAGTTCAACCACAGTCATCATACACTGAAATGCTACGTTCTTAAAAATCTTCTTGTTCGTCAGCGTTTAAGTTTTAAAATGAGTGCAATCTTTTCACTCCAAAGTTATCTGTTCCCCGGGCCCAGGTAACCAACTTAGAAGAGCTTTAAAGAATTTTTTCAGTTCCTTTTTTGAAGAATTCAAAATTGTGCGCTTAAATTTTGCGACTAAAGAAATGAGCGTTCAGTGGCCTGTGCTGCCAACGATTCGCGCCCTGAGCAAGTCTGAACAGAAGCTGTAAGCGTACACCAACATCGGTAGCTTTCAAGTAACTGGACGAGTCTTACCAGTTAAACTGAAAATGAAAAGCCCAAACCTAAATAAATAAAGGTTTAGGTATTTTAAATGTGGTGATTACAAACCTGATGATTTGATGACCAAAACTCGTGCAAAATCTTCAAACAATGGATCTGAGCTTCTTCGTTCACGATTACATTTTTTAACAACTTATGAAACCTAAAAGTTAAAGTTCAAATTAACCTCTCAAAGAAAAAACTAAATAGTAAATCTCTCTCAGAAGCGATTGAGATGTAAAATCCAAGGATACTTAGTTCCCTATACCTTGATTATCAACTCAATTGTCACAGTTATCACAGGTGTTCACCTTCACAGTGACAAAGCACTAATTTCTCCCTTGAAATTTTCTCTATTTTCAATTAACTCCCCATACTACACTAATTAAAATCGGAGTCCTACAAAGCAGCCACTCTGGAGGAAATCGTAAGTAGCAACAAAGAAAACATAAGCGACTTGATTGGGGCCGATTAGAAATCTCCAAAACAGGTGAGGTATACAAAACTGCTTATTCAAACAGGTGGGGTATACAAAACTGCTTATTCAAACAGGTGGGGTATACAAAACTGCTTATTTAACTCTTTGACCTCTAAGAGTGACTAGCATCCAATTCCTCAAAATCAAGGAGATCACCAACTAAAGAAGTTCTTGATTGTTAAACAAATTCTCCTTGTCAGCACCTTAAGAAATGTATAGAGAACAGTATGGAGAATATGCATACTGATGCTGGGGTATGAATTTTTTCAGGCTTCTTTTCTGTAATTTTATTAGTTGCAGCTCACCTGCAAAGACCATTCATTTATTTGGATACCATCCAAGGATCATGTTTACTTCACTTGATTACGTACGGAGATTTTCGTCGGGAAGATTTCGAGTTGGCCTCAGTTATTTGATAATGGCTCGAGTAAGGTTTTTAGTGAATAGAGAGATTTAGCACTGCGTTTACGTGCAACGGCAAACGTCACCTTGCCCTTTCACGTTTCACGTAAAATAGCATGAACCTTACTGCTTTAGCTTTGCGTAAGCTCACGTCAGGATGGATTTGAAGGCGCCCTTGTATGACTTACAAGGAATAGCTTTGGTGCCCTGTTTCCGGCAGTTATCTACTCTTCCGTGAGAGAAAATTGAAGAAAATCTTACGTACACGGCAAACGCGAAGTAGGTTACATTCACGTAACAAAGCAAAGCGCAATCGGCAAACGTGAAAGAATGGCGGGAAAAAAAAAGGTCATGTGGTCACTCTTGCCGCTCACGTTTCACGTAAACGCGATGCTAAATCTCTCTAATATCTCAATTGGTTACCTTGTCAGAGCACTGAATGAATGACTTAAAGACTTAGAACCAAGTTTGAGCACAACTTGAAGCAAGACCTCCAGACGTAATACTGGAAAAGTGTAGTCGATTACTGGAGCTAAAAAGAGAAACAAGTACTGGTGATAATTTCATAAAGTTCCACTAACTATGAGTAGGTGTGGTCTAGTTAAATTGATTGCGGAACAAAAGCACTACTAAGACGCTTAAAAACAGACGTTCTTGAGACGCAAATAGATAAGGGAAGTTGAGAGTTCTCTATCCTTGCACTTGCCACAAGTCTTTACCCTGTCGTGTTTCTGGTTATATGTAAAAAAAAAAAAAGGTTTCCATTCATCGGTTTTATGTCAAAGGTCGGTAGAAGAAAATTTCGTCCACTTCCGGTTGCTACTCGAGACGTAAAAGCATTCTTCTGCTACCGTGTTTTTAAAAATAATTTAGGAGGGAGAAACAAAAGGAGAAGGGAGAAGGCAAAATTTAGAATGTGAATATGCGTAGAAAATTGAGACTGTTTCCAGAAGACTTCTAACTCCTATTACACGCACAAGTTTTAGAGCTGATTTTGTGCTGCGACAAATGTCAATTCCAATCGGATGGGTTCGTAAAGAACAAAACAAACCATTACCATCAGAATTCTCATCTTCCTGACCAGTTGCATTGGCTGGTATGCTGTTTAAAATAGTCTGAAGATGATCGACATCTTTCTTGGCTCTGATCGCGTCTATAAGCTCTTTCGCTTTGTCTTGTCCTGCTAACTTGCCTAGCAGAAAATTAGAAGCAACTTGTGAGATGTCGTGTAGTTTGTTAGTAATGGACTGTAACTGAGGAACAAAACACAAAGCGTAAGTAAACCTACGTGGTAGGTACTTTGAATCAATATTTTTGTGTACGGAGTATTGCATTATAACTGGTTAAGATTGTAAGTAATGACTTGAAAATAGAAAAAGAAAATAAATCTTGTGGAATAAATCTATGGGACACATTTACGTAGGGGCTCAATAACATGCCTGCTCGTAGGCTCAACAGAGAGCGGTAGACTGCCGGTGACCGGCTGCTAGTGTGAAGCTAATTGTATTGATGCAAGTGAATATGAACTGTTTGGTATTCTCTTGACTGATATTAAAAGGTGAAATAGGTGGAGTAATAAAAAATTCTGTCCTTGCATCTACTGTCATTGTGCTAAAAACATAACTTGCTTTCGTCGTTCTATGTTATTTTGTTTTTTCCTCTGGCTTAGAAAAAAGGGATAATAAAATAGATGAGCAAGGAAGGAAGGAAATAAGAGAGAATAAGCAAGGAGGAAATGGAGCTATTTTGTTTCTTACTACTGACTTTTTTTTCGCGAATTGGAGTGTCAGTTTTCTCCCGCCAAAACACGACAACAATGCTGTAGAAAATTCAATAACAAGGCAAAAAAGTGTAAGTTTTGAAACGGACGTATCTTTGTAATCATTGACACAAAGCAGTGTGTTGTTCAGACCTTCCTCATCTGAGTATCTGTAGTTGGGTGTAGGTACGGCCGGGAGGAGGCCATGTAATCCGCAAGGGATGTTCTCAACCAGGAACTGATGGTAAGATAGCCTAAACAAAGTCAAATCATTCATTAAGTAGAGTCGGTAAACGTTCACAATTCAAGAATTTCCAAGGAATAGCGATATCAGTTTTACGCGCGCAGTTCTCTCTCATCAGAAGCTCGATTTCTCATCAAATTCTATGAATTCGACATTTAAAGACACACAATGTGAAAATTACCATTTTATCACCAACAGTAACTAACCTTCGAATTCTTTCAAAAAGTTCGTTTAAGAACGCACATCTTGGTGTCTCTAATCCAGCGTCTGTTGCTGATACCCTTCAAAACAAGAGTCAATTGGCTAAAAATGCAGCACTTAGTGTAAGAAGCGTTCAAGTCATGTTCAACTTGGAAGGAAAAAAAAAAATCGGCAAAAGTGACTTGTTCCAAAATGAGTACTGAATATCTCAACGATCGTAACGATCAAATAAAACCAATGCAATCTATACGGTAAACGTTTCTGGGTGAAGATGCCAACCACAACGATAATGCAGAAGAGCTTGGAAAACAGGCTTAAAGTTCTGAATAAATCATTTTCATTTTCTCTAAACCAAAACGATTTCATCAATTGATGACAAAAAAAAGGGAGGATTTTCAAATTTTGAACAGGAGGCTTTTTTGTGTGCATTGCAGGCTTTTTTGTGTGCATTGCAGGCCTTTTTGACTTGACTATGTTTTGGGCTCCTTCCCCTTACCCACATCTCTGGGGCGTGAAAGAAAGCGACCCTGAACAGAGCTGGTTACCTGTCTCGGTGAAAAAAAGAAAAAAAACTGGTAGAACGGGTCCGTGTCGTTCATTTCTTTGGTCAAGGTCAAAACGAGGTTAGTACTATCTTCAGTTCGCAACCGCTACAAGCAACCTCATTCCCAGGGTCTCTATTCTTTCCCTCTCATAGAGGCCCTGGGAGCGAGGTTGCAAGATTTTTTCCCACTTCACAATGTAAGATTCGTAGATGTCTTCTTGGAACCTCTTACGAAAAGTAATTTGTAGGTATTCAAATAATCACTGCCTATACATTTTTGGGATTAAAAGGAGCTTCAACAAATATAACAACTACTTCAAAAGAGACTTACCATTCATCCCAACTCCATTTAAACTGGAAGTTGCTGAGATGATGCGAAAGCCAACAGACAAATCTACAAAGAAATTCCATCAATCTTTATAAGAATATGTCCTACAGTTGGACAGACTTCTTAAATAAAACCTGTGGTAAATTCTATAACGTGGCATAACATTCATTCAAGATAAAAGAAATAAAATTATCAAAACAGCATCTTAAAAAGAAAAAACCACTGGTTGACTCTAGATAAGTTGTAAGCTATGTAGAGCATAAGATAAATGAAACAAAGCGTTAAAAACAATGTACAAAGTATCTAAAATAAAAAAAAATGTTCAGGAGCACCGGTGTACAACAACAAAGCTGAAAGAGCAGCTAATGTATTCTAAAGAATCTATTCAGTGCACTCTTGGACTCCAGTGGTCTAAACCTCATGCCTCAATAATGGACACTGCTAGCCAAACTCACATGGTAGGAAAATAAAATTTATAAGGACTCTACTTTGCTGGTCTATCAAGTAACTTACTTGGGTGGTTTGGGAGATGAAAAGGGTTGGACTGTACTTGGTACAATAAAAAATTTTGTTAAAGTTAGTTAGCTAATATCAATGACAAACTTTTAGCAATCAACCAGTAAAAGAAATGCAAAGATGCAGCATTCTACCAGAGAAATAAACAATCTAAGTGTTCATAACAAAGGGCAAAACCATTTTTTACCTTACAATGGATTATACCAAGAGGTAGAAGTAGAGATTTACCATCACACTCTGCAGGGAAAATAACTGTGACCATTGCAAAGTGGATGTTGGTTATGACAGCCATTCAGTTTAGGGATTGAATTTTTGCCAGAAGTTGATATAGTACAGAATTGTCTCTCTTAAGGTATTATGAGAGAACACTGCAACAAAATTAAAGCTTATCCCCTCTAAGCAAAGGTTGTCTAATTCAGGACTTACCTTTCTATGCAAGTTGAGTTCATGGTATCTAACCTCTCATACAATAATTCTGTTGCCTGGGCAACCTGAAGATGTTTCATTAAGGAAGAACTGGAATTTGAATTAGCTGACATGTATTTATATAGAGGTTAGTTTGCTGCAAATCAGATTGTGTCACTTAACTTACATTTTTATTTTATCTTACAAAAACAGCTACAGTATAGCATTCATGTTCTGTGCTGCTTTATATACAGTATAAAAACTTACTATCTGCTGCTACATCCTTGCAATATGCACATAGTTCTCACATGAAAGGAGTTCCAAGTTTGTTCAGTTTGAAAAATTAAGCTTAATTTTTTTTAAAATTTTCACCTTCAATGAGTGTTTTAACTTTCACCACATTTTACCTTGTTTTCACTTTTATCAGTTTTCAACTTTTATCTTTGTCAAAACAACTCAAAATCAATGTGTTTGGCCCATCCTACCCTAAGATCTTTACTGGTAGAGGACTACAGAAGAACTGAAAATAAAAAGGTATGAGGTTCACATTAATTTTGCCATTACCAGAACATCTTTCTTGGTGACAACACATATTTAAGTTCTGAGTAAGGAAGGATACAATGCCTGGGATTACGTCTGACTTCAGTTTGCACAGTTCCATAATCAAAGATGCATAGAATACTTGACTATGATATGATGTTGGAAGTCTGAACATTTCTGAAAAGATCACCTGAAAGTTAAAAACAACATCACCTTAAGGTATTAAATACATAAAAGAAATAAAACATCACCCAACAGTAAGTGTAATGAGTTAGTTTTTTTTAAATCTGTTTTGATAATTTCCTTGGTAAAGGTTTTTGGATACACACATATACAGTCATGTATATTACCAAATGTCTTAGGTTCCAAAGAAGCAGTTAAAACAAGACTTTTTTCTTCATTTCCCTATATTTATTTTCTGAGTAGACTATTTGGTCAAATTCAAATATTGTGCTGATCACTTCTCAGAGAATTGTACTGGATATTCACAGCTTATCCCCTCCACCAACAGCAGCAGTTAAGAAAAAGCCAGACAAAATATTATATGAACTTCACCAACTGGAGCCTCATACGTCACAGTCTGACTATCATTTACCTCAATGACACAGTAATGAATAGGCACTTTTGACTTTCCAGGTAAATTTATAAGCTGATTTGCACTAAAAAGGGTAAAAGAACATTTAATAGGCAAAGATTATTTCTTGTTGGAGAAAATCTACTACAACAAAAATTTAAAAGGATTTGCCCATAGTCATTAATGAGAGAGCATGTTGGACCACCAGGCTCTTGAGACAGAGTTAAAACCTTGGCTAGGATCATCAACCCATACTCTTCACACACTGACTGTACTTCACCCATCATGGCAAGTTGCAAACAGACCATGAAAACCTGAGCTTGGCTTTTCAAAGCTCATCAAATAAAACAATTCTAATTAATTGCAGCAAAGAACATGACTGGGTTTTATTGTGAGAAGAATGCACATCAGCTAGTAAAACATCTCTCACCATTCCTTTCTGTCCTTGAAATGAGCATAAATTGTTCTTCGAATACCCTCCTCTATTAGATATCTTTCAATTGCATGAGCTCCTGGCATAGATGGACCCTAGTAAAAGCAAAATGAATGTGACTGATTAATGCCCTTGATTTTCTGAAAGTGCAGTAAGAGAGTACAATAAGAGAGTACAATAAGAGAATGGTGAAATGCTTCAGTCTACTTCTGAAAAAATAGTTCACAGGCTCACCAGACACCTTTCAGAATTTGAAGCTAACTAGTTAAGCATTGCACCCTTAATCAATGATATTTCCAGTCTGGTCCTCTGCTACAGTTGAATTCCCAACCAAACTTTCAAAAGAACTATTTCTAATAAATCATTGTCAAGTGAACTTGGTAGAGTGTGTTACACCCTCAGTAATGATTACTATCACCCTTTCTGACGCTAAACTGCTATGGGAATAAATATTCCTCTACTCATGAAAGTCAGCTTATTGTTAATAAACTTACTTCTGGTACATCAGTGTAATCAAACATTCTATAAACTACAGATGGAAGTGGGTAAACAGTGCCATCCTTCTCTGGTGGAAGTGTGAAGGAAGGAAGGGTGTGCTACGGAAAAAATTAAGGCAACGAAATTTCAGTAAACTTTATAGTATCCCCACATTTTTATTATAACTAGTAAAGCATAGATGAAATTAGTATTACCCATAACTGGGGTAGTATAATCATTTTTTTTTTTTTAATTTTTCAGTCAACATGAGATTGTGTCTGCAGCTTTTGTAGATAAATGACTTTATTAAATAGATACTGATGAAATACCAGGATTTCTCTTTTTACTAAAAAATCATATCTTCAACGCGCGCGGTGAAAATACTATTTTTATCTTTCACGTGTGAGGATATTGGTGTGGCCATGGTTACCAACATAATTACCCAATTGCTGTGTCAAAAATGAATAAAAAAAGTTGTCTTTTATGTGGAAATTTCATCAGACTGAGTATCTATATTAATAAACAGAACATTACATGGCTGCTTGGGGATACAAATTTTATCTTCTCATGCTGAAAGTATCTCTCACGAGTGAGCTGCGCTCACTCGTGAGAGATACTTTCAGCATGAGAAGATAAAATTCATATCCCCGCACGGCCATGTAATATCCTCTATATCTTCGTGGTACATATAGCTGTTCATAAAGCTGAACAGCACGTGTCACAATTAAACAGAAAGGAATTAAAATACTGATATGGTTTGATCAGAATAAATACAGCCATTCTTTTATTAACATTGTTCCATAGCCAAATGGTAGTTTATGTATTGATCCCACATGAAGAATACATGGCTACTAACAGTATATCATTGTTCACTGATAAAAAGACAAAAACCTACAATCTGAAACTCTCTGCTAACTGACTCTCTCATAGGTGGACAATTCTACTCTTCTTTTGAATTCCTTGTTTTGCCTCCTATTCAAACTCTGTTATTTCCACATTCCCATAAAAGGACACTCTCTTGTTAGTGGACACAGACACTTTTTTCCTACACCACTTCAATCATGACACTATTAAACATGCATTAAGCATGCTGCTTAATACGGTAAATAAATGAAAATGACAAAGTGACTTTTTACCTGTAAGGCATCTCCCAAAACATCATCAAAAGCCAGATAAGGTCTCCTGATGTGCTTCTCCTGCAGAGAAAAAAGGAAGTGCATATTACCCATAAGCACTTGTTGTTTTGTTCATTCATTTTTAGTTTGCTTTCAAAACTTGTAATGACTATTTTTGCAACAAACCTGCCAGTTATCTGATTCGAGCTTCTTAATTTGTGCCCATAGGCAATCAAGGTACTGTTGAGACAACAAAGATTCAGTGCTTTAAAATGACAATTACCAGTAAGGCCACTTTCTGGTTACACACAGCAACATACTGATAATTTATGACAACGTGCAGTATACATGCATTTATTAAAGAAATCATTTAAGTAAATGTAAATCATTACAAGCAGGTACAGGTATAACTTAGTACAGCTGCAATATATCATATTAATATAAATAATTTAGGTAAAGGTGTAGATAAAAACTGTCAGCCCCTTTCCTTATTCTCATCCTACAGTTTTTACCTCTCCTGTTCTCCAGAGGTACAATGTATTCACTTGTAATGGTAATTAAAAATTTCTTAATGACATTGTATAACTCAAATTCTCAACCTTGCCTATCACATCTTTAGTATTCTGATTGGATCACTTAATCTTCAGTTGGTTATCAGCTCCTGTACCATAGTTCCATAGACACGACTAACCTTATACGTCATGCACGTATTTGTAATGATAGTGCCACAGATGTGACCAAGCTGAGTTTTGCAAGTCACAGTGACTAAGCTTAACTTTTTAAATCTAATCATTTTAATTTACAAAGCTAGATAAAGATTTCTTCCCTTGGCAGTATAACAGTTAGGACATCTTACCTCTTCTTGAGGATGAGGCTCATCAGATGACCACACTTGCAAGGCAGGAATGTGAGTCTTCTGTCTCTGACTGGTTAATAACAATAATTATAATAATAATAATAATAATAATAATAATAATAACAAAAAACATCAAGAATATTAACATCTGACAGGTCTGCATGCATGAGTAGATAAGTCACCTGGTCTTTTTCACAAGCAGCTCAGTTGAGATTTATTTAAAACTGTACCTTATGTAATAATTTGGATATATCAACAAAGTTGAAATGGTAAATTGGCCGCCGTAATGATTACAAAAGCTGACGTTTCGAGCGTTAGCCCTTCGCTCCGATGAAGGGCTAACGCTTGAAACGTCAGCTTTTGAAATCATTACGGTGGCCAATTTACCATTTCAACTTTGTTGATAATATCCAAATTATTTCGTTACTCCCACCGACGCAGCCCCAAACAGTTTCTTTAAAAACTATCAGCCTTTACTCATTTGTACCTTATGTAGCTTTCAATTGTTGACAACAATCGTTCAAATTCCTGACTCTTCTTCTCAGAGAGTTCTTTGGCAGCCTAAAATAACAGAGAGCTCTCGGTATTGTTATTCATAACAAAGATTTACAAAAGCACTTGTTCTGATTGGCTCCATGAGCTGGAGTTGACTCTTGTGCTTCTTTTGTGCTAAGCAACCTCCTGCCTGCCTCCATAACTTAATGGTTGCATGCTGCAGGGTAACCCTTTCTTAGTAAACTATATTATTAGGAAGCTTCTGCAATCAACCTAGGAATTGGGGTGAAACTATTTCTTAGTTGATTTTGAAGTTTTGAAGATGTGGGCCAATCAGCTTTTAGTCGTGCATTAAACCCTGTTTCTTTGAGTATGTAAACTAAAGGCTATACATTGCTTGACAACATTTATTTACAGGAAAAATTAAAAGCTCTTTCAGTAATGTGGATTATGTACTTATTGACGGAGTGCAAGGGCTGGACAGGAAAATATTTTACTTGAGCTCAACATATGGACCAAGCAGAGTGAGGTCCCTGCATCATGAATGAGAGCTAAATATTACCTTGTCCAGGATGACCAAACTAGGTCAATAGGCACTTTAATTAATAAGTATTGAAAAATTTACAAATTTTGTTTCACTCTAGTTGGTATGTAATTGCATACAAAAGAAGAGTGCGCACCGGACAACTATGAATAAAAAAATTCTACAGTAAAAACCCTTCCTCTTTTTCCCAACAGAAGAAAAAACTCATAATTCATCAAGAAGCATGACTCATTTTCTCTGCCATTTTCTTTTCTTTAAGCTGAAGTCCACAATTTCATCCATGTTCTTGGAAAATGCAGAAGAGCCATGCAAGTGTAGGCTTTTTTCAGACTGGCTCATGTCAACCTGCTTGGTCCTAAACACTCTTCTTTACATAGGATTACATGTGCAGGGCTGGACATTTGATAAATGGGGTTAAAGTGCACCTAAACCCAAAAACTTTCTTTTGCTCAACGAAATAAGCGTATTTTTTGGAGTATTTCTTTGCAAAAATTTTTTTATTTCTTCAAACCTTCAATTTTCTGTGCCCAGTCAAAATATGGAAAATCAGCTGCCATCTTGGCTCACGATCGAGTTTAAAGAGGAATGGTTCTAGCGGGTAATGTCACATCAAATTGAGAACATGAAAGTTTACATTTCGCACAGTTTCACTTGTTTAGGAAGGTTGTAGTCAATATTATCCAAAAATATGCCGACTAAGTGTGTTGTAGGAGGATGTAGCAATGTGTGAAATTTGCAAGAGGGTATCACGCTACATACAGTCCTCATACAACAGGTGGCATACTCCAGACAATATTGATGACAACCTTCCCAAACAAGTAAAAATGTGTGAAATGCAGACTTTCGTGTTCTCGATTTGACGTCACATTACCCACTAGAACCATTCCTCTTTAAACTCGGTCATGAGGCAAGATGGCGGCCAATCATTTTCCGTATTTTGACTGGGCACAGAAAATTGAAGATTTGAGCAAATAAAAATATTTTTGAACAGAAATACTCTAAAAAAATACCCTTATTTCCTTAAGTGAAAAAAATTTTTGGGTTTAGGTGCACTTTAATAACTCAGATAAGAAGAAATAAGTATCAACCTTTCCCTGGACTACTTAAAAATTGTGAGGTTGAACTTACCCATGGCAATGAAGATAGTACTGTGTACACAAACCAGTCAGACCGGGCCTGAAACACAAATAGGCAATAATATTAATTTTTCCCATTGAAAAGATAATTCTGTTGGGTGTGTAAGATTTACTGACCATTCACAATAAAACATCATTATCATCATGATGATGATTATCGTTAATATCATTTAAAATAAAATATTTTTATATTATTGTAAATATCAAAAAGTGTGTTATGAAATGAGATGTGATTGCGGATAAAGAGGCTGATGATTAATTGCAGAGTAAACAGTTCATATCAGATGACTAAGAATCATTATTTTTATGAAACCAATGAATAAACAGTGGAAGAGGGAGAGAATGGGTGGAGAAAACTGCTTGGGTATGATGTAAGTACAAGCTAAAAACACATGCAAGAACACCTCAAACAAAGAGCACATGGAATTCCAATGCATGTGCATATGCAAAAAAACACTGACTACAAGAAAATGCTGATGCTCTTTGTTGTTTACTCCATTAAATTGCATTTAACTGCGTTATAAGGTGGAGAAAACCTACTTGTTAATGAGTTATCTTTTTAGTAAATTAGTAGTGATACACAAACTTCTTTATGTAGAATACTTCTCTTTGATACAACATGTAAAAACATGCCAGGATGATTTTACATGTACTGTACCTGTAGAACATTGTCCTCCATAGTAGCAGCCAGGAACTTATCAAAAAACTCCAGCAGTCCACTATGCATGAGAACTCTGCAGTTAACAAGATCAGCAAGAAACCGCACCTAGTAAAAACACCAAAAGTCAAAACCGTGCAATTGGATTAAAATTAATCAAGTCATATAAATGTGTGTCAAGAGACCCAGATCCTAGTGACAGTGGTTAGTAAGGATACGTAACTCCACACTGAAAGGTTTGGACTAAAAAAATTAATAATTCATAATGTACATGTACTTGCTGGGTTCACTGTGTTCTGCAACATCAGATGTCAGTAGTAACTGACCAAAAACAGTGGAAATGAAATTAACAAATACCCTCCAAATTAATCTAACAAAAGGTTTAATTACCATTAATCTGGCTCTATCAAACTGAGCAGCAATCAGAACTTCCTTCAGGTTTTCCAAAATCATATCTAAGAACTAAAGAACAGATTGAGTCATAACCACATAGCAGAGAAAAGGTTAAACTAGAAAGTTAGCTCACTTATGCATCATTCAAATCATTCAATTGGAAGCTTCAACATTCCTCTCTGGGCATTTGAATTTTTGAAGGTTGGTTTATTTAAATTCCTGCCCCCTAATGCCAAAAAAATAGTTCAAATGCCCCCACCCAAGTGCTGGATTTGATGACCAATTTTTTTTGTATAAGGTAAGATTTGCCACCATGACTTTCTCATAGACCTTTTCTTCTGAGTCATCTGTTCACATGTGAACTCTTTACCATTAAACACCTTGATATTAAAAGATATCTATTTTGCTGGAAAGACTTAACAGTTCTGGTTGAAATTTGCCACTCACCCTGGCAAGATTCAAATTCCCCATCCCTGTGGGCAGACAACAGTCAAATGCTTGTGGATTACCTGGTTGGAGAAGGGAGGGGGGAGGGGCAGCAAATGCTGAGGCTTCAAATTGATTGGTGCATTAACTAAAGACAATTCCTCTCTGATCTGAGTGTTACCAAAATCAAAATGTTGGCATTTTTCCATGTGAATGTTAACCTGATGAACTGAAACAGGCCTGCCATCTTTGATGAGCTTAAATTGCTCTGCATGCTTTTCAAAAGTACTCATTAAAAGTTTCTAACAACTAAGAAAGTGAGAAAATAACAACAACAACAACAAGAAAAGACAAAAACTGATCTCATGTTGAAAATGGGCTACATGTACCTAAGACTCAGAGATAGTAGACATTATGAGCAACAGAGCTCACATTTAAATTAATTAATTTTTGTTAATGATAAACAAAATGAATTTTTTATTTAAACCAAATATCAATAACATATCAGATATTATACTATAATTCCCTGGCTAGAGTTAATCATACCTTGCCCCTAATTTTTTAAGTAATGGATTATCAAAACTGTAAACAGCCAATGGCATGCTCAGTGGTTCTTTCCTTATATATGTTTGTACCACATTTCATCAACAGGTGATAACTTGACAGAAAAAAAATCAGTGGACAATGTACCTCCTCTCCACAGTTATAACTCTTTGCATTTAAAAGTCCAACAAGTGTGCTGTATATAGTGATTTTCTCAGGTAGATTTGTAGCACTGAAAGCATAAATTCAAAAGAGAATTTCAAGCTTGTGTAACATGAGTAGAGCTGAACAAAGAGAAGTGAGAAGCAGGCCTAAATTTTGATAAACTTACAATATGCAACACAAGTGAAACCATTGATTTAGAAGTGATTTTATGACTAACATGGAAATGTGATGCTCTTAAAATTGTGTCACTTTAAAAGTAAAGTCTAAAAAAATGGAATAAAACCAAAGTTGGACTATTAAGTGTGACCATTTTGTTGCTCTGCTTTCCATTCACATTTTTCCCTGTCCTATAGAGTAATAACATGGCATGTCTTGTGCATTCAGATACAAAATGGCAAAATGGCAGAGTAGTGGAATAAACTATTGTGTAGCCCACCAAAACAAAATGAATGCTATAGTTTCTTACCAAGTACAAATAATCTTCAAGATACGTTCTTTATAATTTGGCAAATCAGCTTCGAGCACATTAGCAAGACCTTCCAGATTACTTTCAAGTGATGAAGTACTCTATATTGAGAGAAAAAAAGTCAAGGAATTGTATCCCATTTCTCATGGTTAGTGAAAGTTTTACTTATTCATGTTGCATTAAGAAATTTTACCTTTTCTCCAACACGTGTAATGAGGGATTCTAACCGGTCTTCAATATCCACAGTTTCAGTAGTTCTTCTTCTTTTGCGAGCTCTCCCATCTGAGAAATTTACAGAAACAAAATAGCTACTTTACAAGTGTCAATAAAAAAACAATTTAATTCAAAAAAGTTATTTTTCAAAGCAACAAGGACAGATGACATTAAACTCTCTTAACAACCACAGGGTCCCAATAATTACAGAACATCTCAGTTTACATTACATGTACATGAATCTCAAGATGATGAGTCCTACAGCTGTAAGTGATGGTATACAACATAAAAAGGTCAAAGTTACCCCAAGAAAGAATTCTGAGAACAAAAATCCTAGTTCAAATCATCCTGTGCAACAAAAGATCACTAGACTGTCTACTGACACAAGTCAAAACATACTACAATACAATGTACATGTACAGTTTTCACTACAAATCTGTTGTGAATTGTAATCTATTGGCAAAATTTGCCAGTAACTGGTAATTGCTTGGTTCTTCTTCACAATGAAACTTCAGGAGAATCAGGCTGTTTGAAAGTCCCAGCAATTATTCTAGAGATACATGTTATCCTCTTTGATCTCCTTTTCTGGTTTAAGTTCTTGTCAGTCAACTGTTAAATCTATAGGTCAAAGAAAACTGATTGGTCCACCATGCAAAGAAAGATTTAACTGGCTGTACCCCTATAGCTTGGTCCATCAGTGTTAAATGGCTGAATTTGAAAATAATCATCGCTACCAGATGATGCAAAGACATAAAACTGGACCATTTGGGTCTTCGGCACACTTCGATGAAATTATGGGGACTAACAAACTACTTAATCATTCCGTGAGGAAAAAAAACAAAAACACACTAACTAAAAACACTACAACGAGAAAAAAACATCAGCCGATGCCTCTGCGTACTATTGTCGAACAACGAAAAAACGTAAGAGTACCACCCCCTTTCCATCTCGCCAGCCTTTCCACGAACAAAAGCAGGACAGAACAGCTGACAAAAGAAGTCCAAAATGCATGATTAAAACATCGATTAACCACTCGACTTTCACTTCTTCTCACCATCAACAGTTTTGTTTTCACCCCATTTTCACTACATCTTCGAATCAGGAAATGGAAGAATAAAACACTTCGAATTTGTAGCATGCAGAGGGTACTAATCTTTATCTGTGGTTCAGCAGATAAATAAATCGTGACAACTTCAGCCTACCACGAGCACCTCAACAAAGGAGAACTCTGGCTAATTAACATATCATACAAGAATGCAAGTAACAGCAAACCTTCATCTTCACTAAAATATCTCCTTTTCTCTCTTGACATAGTTTGAGCTCCAAACTATTCTAGTGAACTGGAGAAGACGACAGAATACAGACTTTCAAGTAACTGCTTTCGAGCGTCGTTCACTTTGTTGCCCTTTCCGCATTGATAGCTTCGTCGTATATAGTTACTATAGTGTACTCCCGATTTGAGTAAAAGGCTCGGTGACCTAGTCAATACAAGATGGCGATTACCTTACCAGGTAAGGTTGTGGATTTTTAACTTCAGTGAAGCAAAGAATTGAAAAAATTACATCAATTTCCGCTAAGCTTTGCAAGCGAGGATATTTCTTTCAAAGGGTTGATATAAAAAGAAAAGTTTCAGCCACAAGGAATCAGGGGTTTGGGAGGGTAGATTACAAATTTAATAACTAAGCTGTAAATCAGCAAATGACGGTTGGTGAATTGCTGAAAGTAAACTGCTTCGGCAATGACATCAGTTCATCTTATTGAATCATTTATGACTGGAATTGTATGTTACCTCTCTTGAAGGATTATTAAGGAGTCGCTTTCAAGTACTTTCAAGACAATTTTGGTTTGGTGAAGTTCAGAGTTTTTATCCTACATCTTGGTGTGTTTTTCAAGCACCTTTTGGAGATAATAGAGCAAGACTACTACAAAGAAATCACATAATTCCTGGTAGAAGGTACTTTTTATTGAGTCATAGTTTTTAGAATAAAGGGTTGTGGAAATTCACAAAATCATGTCTCAGCTTTATACTGTGAAACTTATGAAACCATGAACACATTTGATGTTGACTGGCCTGTCATAACCAATCACCTCAAAACCAATAACTTCTTACCTTGTATTTGGCAGTTTAATACTGAAGGCATACTGGTTTTTCCTTTGCCCTTTATCTTGCATATTGTAACTTCTCCCTGTAATATCCATAAATCATCCAGCAAACAGGTTATAAAAATACCCAAATTTACCAGGTAGAAGTTTTGATCTTGATCTAACACCAAATTGTTGTGACTAGTTTACAAGCAGCTACAGGGGAGACTTAACAATCAGATCTTGGGAATACATAATTGTGTGTTCACAATTTTCTGAATTGTATAATAAAGACACAAGATTTGGGTGTTGATGATGAAGTCTACTTAAGTTAGGCTTTCAAAAGTTAAACCTGTGTTACACCTGGAAAATAAGAGCTTGGTTTCCAACATAATATTGGAAGTAAATTTTTGATTAACCCTAACACTGTAACATCAGTGTGTATATTCTCCATAATGATCTCTAGAAGTTTCCTATGGTACTGACAAGGAGAATTTGTTTAACAATCAAGACCTTTTTTTAGTTAGTGATCATTCCTTTTTATATGGTGATCTTTATGTTTGATTCACCAGTACTACTGTAAAGATAAATTAGTGACTCACTCTTACAGGTTAAAGGGTTAATTTTACACATTTTGAACATCAGCTAAAATGACTTTTATTTCATTTATAGATCGGCGGGGTCATATCTGGACATAAACAAGCATCACAAGGCATATGGCTCTCAAATTTTAAAATTCAATCATCTTCCCGTGATTCATATCAATGCAACATATAACAATACAATCATTACAATAATGGACAAAAACGGTAAGAGATGGGGAATGAGTTATTGTTTCTTTTCAATATCAATAGCTGCAATTTCACTTTTTATTGTTTTCTATTGAAAATTTTGTTACATTTGTTTTTGTAGGAAAAACATTGGGATGGGTTTCAGCGGTAAGTGAGTGCACAGGTTGTTTAGAATGACAATCAATAAATTGTCCATTCATTTTGATTTTGATTTTGTGACAAATTATTTTGAATGTGTTGGGAACCTCAGGGAACAGAAGGATTCGAGAATGCGAGGCGAGGAAGCACTACAGCAGGCCGACAGGCTGGAATAGCAGCTGCTCAGGTGAGAGTTGCAGGGGGGTAAGTTTCTAAAGAAACTGTGGTGATGTGTCTTTGGGTGGTATTCAAAGATAATTTGGTTTTATTATCGGAGTTGATCAAGTATACGTATGATGCATGATCCTCGCAGTAGATAGCGCTATCTACTGCTAGGATCGTGCATCATACATATCTAATACTGCAGTTCAAAATATATGATCTTCATATATTTCATTGTATCTGATTGATCAAGTATATTGGCCACTCTGAAGAATTTAAAGAACTGCTGTTTTGAGCAGTAACTCAGACTAAAACTCAAAACATTAGCTTTAGAAACTCTTTAAAGTAGCCAGTTAAAGTTATTGACTCAGTTTTTAAAACCAAATTGTATTTCTTTACTAAGATCAAAAGTTATTAAATTTTATGCACAATGGAGTGAAAAAGGGATGAAGAGATCTTGAATTAACAATTTTGTTTTAGTTTGTCCAAGCTCTCCTATCCATGTGAATTTTCTCTTCAAGTTAGTGATAATAAATATATCTTATGAGACGTTTTATTGTGTATTTTTATGAGTTGTGCTGTATTTTGATGAGCCCATAAGGCTCATAAAATACAAATAAATGATAAAAATACTCAACAATATGACAAACCAAAATGTCTAACAAGTTATTTATTATCCAACACACCAAATTGTTATTTCAGTGTGGGTGAATTTTGCGGATATTTATTTACATGGAGTGCATGACAGAAGTAGGCAAAGCAGAACAGAATTAGCCTGCAGTGCCGGCGTACTTTGGGCGCATGAGTGCACATTTTCGTATTAGGCCACCATCTTAGATTTAGTAACCGTGGAGGATTGGGGCGAGGCCCAAGCTCGGCAGCCTAATATGAAAATGTGCACTAGTACGCCCAAAGTACGCTGGCACTGCAGGCTAGAACAGAATTGGCATGTTTTCATGTTGCTGTCTCTCTTTTTTCAGTAAATGATGAAATTTCATTGTTGTCTAACTGCTTTTCTTTGTGCGATTTATCTTATAAACTTGGGTCAATATTTGCCAGCCATTCTGACTCTTCAATGTCGGAAAAATGATTTAAATTGTCTGCCATTTTTTTTGTAACTTCAATTCAATTTGTTGCTTGTGTGATACAAGAAAACCTGTCTAACTGGTTCTCTGGAGAACAAATACTACATGATATTTGTACCCGTTGTGGGCGTTATTTGTACTGTACAGAGTGTAGTTGGATAATAATTAAAATTTTGATAATAGTGTAATTACAATAATGATAATCAAAGGACTTCTAAGGCTCCATTTCCCACAGCAAGTAGGCCTGGGCTGAACTATCGTTAATTAGCTTCTTTTCCCTTTTGATTTCATTATTTTTGGTTGACAATGTTTATATACATTTCTCTTGAAATTCAGAAAGCAATTTCATTAGGAGTAGACAAAGCACGAATAAAAGTCCGTGGTATTGGAACTGGACGAAAGGTATTTATAATGCATTTGTGGAATAACTTGTGTCTCTCTTCTTAGAGTACTCTATGAAAATCTTACAACAAAATGCACATCTAATTGCAAATAGTAATCTTGTGCAAAGAAGCTTACAATTCTAACAGTTAAAAAAATACAAATTAACCTGCAAAACCATCTCTTCAATGGCCCTAAACCCTAAACCCTAACCCTAACCCTAAAGCAATTTCTAAAATACAAATCTGCTAACTGTGGGTCAATTTACATTGTGTTCCTAAATTTTACAATGAAGTGAGTTCTTGGTTTTCATGTGACATCATCAAAACTGAAAAATAAGGAATTATTAATCCTTCAGAGGTTTTATTCTAGTTAGTTCTTAGAACAGGTGAAGACTTATCTTTTTACCAAGCTTCAGTTTGATCAGGTTTTTCGTCAAGATAAAGCAAGTTTGAATTTCTAAGCTTTTGTGTGACCTGATATTAAAATGGCAGCTGAGAATGCTGTCAAGTAGTTCAGGGGTAACCTTGTGCTTGCTGTTTATTATCTCTAGGGTGCAGTAAATGGTATTGAAACTGCTGGAGTGGATGTGGTCTCAGTTACAGATGTTACCCCTGTTCCTCATAATGGCTGTAGACCAAGAAAAGTTAGAAGAATGTAAATTGATAAGTGTTCAAAAGGTTCTCAACTTGAGGCAGATTTTGGTTTGCCCTCCTATATATCCTGGCAACAAAAATTGCAACAGCTGTCAGAAATCAGTGTATGTGTTGTATGTGTTTACACAGGAAAGCCTTAACAGAAAGGACAAGGAACAACATACTGTACCAGTTCTAAGGCATTTCACTCATTCTTGTCACTGCTGTTGCCTTTGTTCCAATCATGGTACTGAGTTATGGCGTGAAATAAGCAGCTCCAACAACTCTTATTAAATAAAGTTTCTCTCCAATGTGTAACCCACCCACTAATTTTCGCGCGACTCAATTGGTTACTGTACGTCATGTGGTACACAATCACTGGACAATTATCATGCAATAACCACGTTACTTGTCCTCTGATTATTAATTTTCGGTAGGAAAGAAACAAAACCTGTGGAAAAGAATTTCACTCATTCATCTTTATCACTTTTCATGGTTGAAAAACATACTTGTTTTGTAGAGTCCAATAGTAGTGATAGCAAAAAAGCTGATTTCGATTGATGCTCAGGAAAGTACAAAAAAGTCAAAAAAATTTGCTTTCGACGTGCGATACGAAAATTAATGGGAGGCTAATAGGCTTGCTGGTTTGTCGTCTGAAACTGTCTGTGGTTGATGAGAGATTGTGCTCAAAATTTCACGTCTTCTTCGAAGCTTCGCTTCTCAGCCAAAATTCATTTTGCAGACAATATCTCAGCCGCAGGCATTATCAGCCGATATACCTGAATGAAGAAAAAGGTAGGTGTCTACCTTTCGCTTCTTTTCTTTTTTGTATTACGTCAGAACTGTGTAGAGTTGAGCATACTGATGCGCCAATATGTCACTCAATTTTAAAGTTTAGGACTTTGTCTTTCTCCATCATTCTTCTCAATTTTATGAAGAATCAAGCGTGTGCAAATGTCCTTCAAGTATGACGAGGCTTTTCCTCATATTTCGTAACGGAACCACCGTCGTTTTTTGCACCTCGACCTTAAAAAAGAACTCTGCTGTAGAAAATCACTTTCGTTTTTAAAATTCAAAATTTCCCCTTCCTCTCCGCGCTCCTCCCCGCTTTGTATTATTTTGGTATTCACGCATGGCGCGCGTGATTTAACAAATTAACCAATCACGTCAAAGAACTTCAACCTTGACATTGGAAACTGACGTGGACATTTTTAGCGCGTATCATTGTTGGTTTTTATTTTTTTACGGGGCCTTAGTTTGGTCGTTGATTTTGAGTTTTCGTTCACGCCAATTTGTTATTCCTCAGTTTGGAATTTTAAGAAGTTTTTGGAGTTTTTATTCAAGCCGATTGTTCTGGTTGTCTTAAAAAGTTGATACTTATTTTCTACGGAGTTTAGACTCTAGCCTCTTTTTTCGTTATTGAATTTTTTACATCTGCCTTGGAAAATCAACTGAAAGAATTCCGTGACAAAATGAACGATCTACGCATCCATCAAGAAAAGGTCATCGAGTCCCTTCAGACCGAAATTAAAGACTTGAAGGAGACTGGTTATAAGTGAACGGAGACAAAATTCAGAGGGACCTTTTCTAATAGATGGTAACTATCTTTTACAAAAGTTCCTGACTTTTTTGGCGTACAAGACAAAAAGATCTTTTCAAAAGTATGGCAACCAATGCTAAGAATAAACTGAGCAAAGCTCGGGCGGTCATTTTAAATACCTCTGAAGGGATGAGGGCCTGTGAAAGTAAGTCTAATGTTTAAAGTTATCTATTAATTCATATTTTTTTAGCACAGAACTGATCGCATAACGTGCCTATGAATTTATGATTGTCGCTTCCAGTCAAAAAATCATAAATATGACTAGGATATAGTCTGTTAAAACTAAACCCTTTCTTTCTCAGAGCTAATTGAATCCTCAACTTGGCTCGTAACTGTTCGGCTTACGTCTCAGAGGAACACATGTGATTTCTATATGTGTCTTTTTGAGACTAGTCTCCCTCGCAGCCGTTTTTTCGGATGTCACGCAACGCTCCCCCCAAAAAGATGGTTTTGCCCCATCCAAATTGATACCTTATGCGAGTCCAGTGCATGGTGTTTTCTTCAGAAACCATTAGAGACATAAGAGTGCGTCTCGTTGACTTACGATGACCGTGAAAACTGGTCTCATACTTTGATCCAATTATTCATACGCTGAAAGAATATTCTTCGCCAATTTTTTCAAAATAAATCGAAGTTTTGGTCGTGTGCACCAAATTTCAGGGTCAGCTTGAACCAGGTCAGCAGAACTATTGTTTGTTGCCTCAAGATATCAATTTGCAATGAAAAAAAGTCATTTGTGTCTGTCTTAAGTAAATGAGTCCGTTTTTGGAGAATGTATTGGCCCTCTCGCTAAGAAAAATTTCTCGTTCAAACCTTTCGCTTTTGTTTTAGAGCGTTAGATATCTGAAGAGGAAAAGTCGATGAAATAGGGAAACAATGAACTGCGCGCAAACCTCTTCGCTGCGACCCAGGCTTCTCGCTTCTCTTCTCTTAGTGATGAGATAATTATGTTACGACATAGTGACGATGCGATTTGTTTACCGCGCGTAACCATATCAACTGCTCAGACTTGAAAGATTTGCGATTTCGAGTGAAACGCGTGTATCTTCGAGGGGGAAACATGAGCACTTCGTGGATAAACTTCCTGTATAAACACATAACAGAAGAAGAAGAAAATGAACGAACATCCAGCTCATTGGATGTCCTTTCTAAAGCTAATATATGGATTAAAGATCTCCCGACCAATAACTTAGAGCCGATTGAGGAATCTTTTGGAGCACGCAGAATGACGTTAAAAGTAGGTGTCTACCTTTCGCTCCTTTTCGTTTTGCATTACTTATAGCTGTTTAGAGTTAAGAGAACTGATTGAGCAATATTTCACTCAGTTTTTTAAGGTTTAGGACTGTTTTTCTCTGTCGTTTTTATCTCAATTTTAAGACCAATCAAGCGCGCGCAAATGCCCTTCAACTATGACGCACAAATTTCGTTTTCTTTTGATCAGCGTCATTGAAGGAAAACGTTGAAAAGTTTTTCTCACCCATTTTAAGTAAGCAAGAAAAAAGGCTATAAAGTTAGTTGGCGATTGTTTTGCTATGAAAGCTGTTCAATTATTTTCCTCTCCCAGCGTTATTTTTTAATTTTGTCAAAAGTCCAAACTGCTTATTATGCACTGGAATTGAAAACCCATGTTTAATCTTTTCTCATTCCAATTTACAAGCAAAAGAGCAAATTACACTAAATAACAGCTGATTTTAGAACGTTCCCAATTATCTACATCCTATTAAATTTATCGCGTATTATGCGCCTTTGCGGAGTTCTTATGGTCGGCGCGCTTTAACAGGTCCCAGCTCGATTTGTGTTCTTGGCGAAAACAAAAAGAAAGTGAAAAAAAAAATAAATACTCGGAGCGACTCTCTTAAAAGACAGGTATCAGCAGGTTGTGAGGGATTTGTGAAGAACTAACCGCTGGATGGCTGCTTAATTTTTTTTAAGCATTCAGTCCAAAACAAAGTCAAAGTACTTGATTTTCTTGTACTAGGGTAAGAAGGAGATGGAACTGCAATTGGGGGAAAAGATGGCAGTCCTTGAGCAACAATACATAGGTAAGATTTCTATTTCTTCCGACTTATATCCAGGCTGTTGGTCATCGGACTGACGCAAGAGTGGATGGGTGAAGACAAACCTGGAAAAGGCCGAGGTTTTCCCTGATTTTTCTTGACGTAACCCTCGCCGTTTTTTTGCAATTCCCCCACCCCCCCTGCCTTTTTTCCTGTCTCCACTGAATGGGAACTCAGTACTAGGGTAATTGCTCTCCACAAAGAGAAGATAATCATCCAATATGCAGGCATTTGTATAATAACCTAAAACAATCAAACTGTAAGAGGATATTTGCGACAAAAATGCGACTATCAACCACTGAGCCAAGCTTTTATAATCACTTTAGACAGAGAGAATGAACTTATAAAAAAGAACTCTGCTTTGGAAAATGAACTGAGAGAATCACGAGACAAAATGAACGATCTTCGCATCCAACAAGAAAAGGACAACGATGCCCTTAAGACTGAAATTAGAGAATTGAAGGAGACTCTGATTATAAGGGAACAGAGACATAAAAATCAGATGGATTTTTTCAAAGAGATGGCAACTAATGCACAGAATGAACTGAACAAAGCTCGCGCAGTCATTTCAAATCTTTCTGAAGGGATGAGGGCCTGTGAAGGTTAGTCTAATGTTTAAAGTTAGTTTTTTATTAATTTAGTACAAAACTGGTAACAAAACGTGCTTATGAATTCATCATTGTTGCCTTCAATTAAAAAAATCATAAATAACCGGAAATAATCAAGAAAGGCGCCATTTGACATTCAAACAACGAGATGCAAAAATATTGAGGACATTTCTTTCTTAGAAAACACATGGCAGAAACTGGCGTCAACTACCCGTACTTATTTACGTTCAACAAAATTATTTAAGTTGTGGGTCGTAGCCAAGACGTTTGAGCGCTCAAATTCAATTTGCTTTACTTAGAGTTAGCCTCAACAAAATATTGTTTAAAGAAAGCCATCCTTGAAAGCCATCCTGAATAAAATCATTTCAATTTCAAATAAAAAGAACAAAGCGATGGCGAACACCTTGCTCTTTTAACAATCCCTGTCCAGGAAATGAAGCTGTTTTGCGTTCATTTTGTGAACGTTGACATTTAGACGATCATTAGAGAATATGCAAAGATGAAGAAGAAGCGAAAGCCTTTGAATAAAAAAGGAAAAAAATACGACCAAATGAAATAGGAATATAAAAATGGAATCAATCTCTGATGAGCTAAACTTTTACAAAAAACCGAATCATTATAAATCATCAAGCTCTTCCTTGCGTGCTCAACTAAAGGAGATTTAACAGTGCTGGAAAAGAGAATAAAGATAATTGAATAAACTAAAGAAATCTTTAGCCGACTTCAAAACTTTCTTTGTTAGAATTGGCCTTCATAAGGGCGAGATGAAGTTCATTTTTGGCAAAACAAAACTAATCAAACATACGTCTTAGAGGAAAACCCGAAAGATTTGGTTGAAAACAATGTGAGATATTTCCAACATGAGCTACGTTGGTATTATCTTTGAGGAGCTTAAGTCCGTTGCTGGCAACTAATGACTATCTGCCTTCCTGACTAAATGGTATTATAATATTCCCTTATTCTTTTATTCATTTCAGCGACTCTCTCTGCATCGAAGGAGACAATCAGTGAGAAAGAACAAAAAATCAAACAGCTTACATCTCAGAAAGAGACCTATAAAAATGTCATAAAAAGTATGACTGCTGACATTCGACATTACAACAAGCAACTGCAGAGAGCTGGAAATGATGTTGACAAAATTAAAGAAAGACTAGAGTTTTGTCAAGGTATGTGTAACACGTGGCGTTCACATCTAGCAACAAAAAATTCATCAAAACACGATTTTTTTCAAAGCCAGCTGGCAATTCGTTATTATTGCATCGCAAAAAAAAATAAAAAAAAAAGAGAACTGCACCGCAAAAAATAAACTGAAATCCACACGAACAGGGAAAGACGTCTTAAAATGATTGAATGAAACTCATTGAAAATTTGATCTTTGTTTAGGGTGAGCCTAACCGAACTCGCCATCAGCAAGGGAATTTTTGAACCCAACTCAATTGAATTCACACGCACAAGTCACACACACATTGCATTGCCTCTGAGACGCAAACATAGTTCTCGCTATGACTATTAAACGTTTTTTTTTTTTTACATGTAGGGATACTTACAATGCTTTAAGTTTAAATTGTTTGTTTTATTACCATTCTTGAGCTGCTAAGTCTAAATTGGTTAGACAAAACAATTTCCTTCAGAACCAGGTCGAACAATTGGAGGAAAATCTAAAAAAAACAAGTGGCGACAATCACAAACAACTTCTTTTAAGAAGTTGTTTGTGATTGTCGTCACTTGTTTTTTTTTTACGACCGTTTTGTTTTTTTACCACCGTTGTTTCTATCTTAAAAGATGGAAACAACGGTGCTAACTGCCGAAACAAAGCTGAAGGAATTGTCAGGTGACAGTTTTTTCTCATTATTTTTACTACTTGTAGGAGTAATTTAAAATATTTGTTTTATTACCATTTTCAACCGAGAAGTCTGAGTTTCTGAGGCAAAACAGGCGCCATCAGAACCAGGCGGATAGATTGGAAAGCTAAATAGTCCTGCTATCAATCTACCCGTTTTGAAGGAAACGAATCAAAACATTGTCAGGTGGCAGTTTATTTCTGTTCTTAAAGTTTGATTTACTATTATTTCAGCCAAAAGTCCGAATTGTTAACGAAAAACACTTGCCTTGAGGACCAAACTGTTGAAACGGAAAAACTGTTTTTTATTTTTCATGGCAATAATTTATTCCTCAAGGCGGTGGCTAATGCCGAAGTAAAACTGAAGGAATTGACCGGTGGCAATTTAGTTCACTTTTCATCACTTGAAAGATGTTTTCTGTTCTGAAAGTGATTTATTTGTTTTATTGCCATTTCAGCCAATAAGTCCAATTTTGGTACAATGAATATATGAAGTTCATATATTTTGAACTGCGGTTATAGATACGTAGGATGCACGATCTTCGCAGTAGAGAGCGCTATTTATGCAATAGCGAAAATTTTCGCTATTGCATAAATAGCGCTCTCTACTGCGAGGATCGTGCATCATACGTAAGTCCAATTTTCTTTAACGACGAACAGTTGTTTTTGTTTTTGTTTTTTTCCATTTGCATGAGCCTGACTTTCAGTTCATAGAGTTTGAATGACTTATTTTATTTCGCTTTGCAGAAGTCAACAATAACTTAGTGAAGCAGATCAGTTTCCTTCAGCATGAGGACAAAAAGATGCAGTTTGATCCTCACGAAAAAAGAATTAGGGAGAGGCTTGAAGAAAAACTTAAAATGATTAACCAATTGAACCATGATCTGAACCAAATGTATACTGAGGTGACAGTAGAAATACTAGGTACGTGAAGCGAGGATGCGATTCATATAACTTAGCATACTTCATCAACTGGTATACGTGGAACAGACTCCGATGAAAATTTTCAAAGAAGGTTTTAATTATAAGTCAAGAACTCTTAAAGTTTCACGTTTCCTAATTCTTATTTTTTAAAAGATAATTTCACGGACTTGAGAGGGTATACATCAACGACTTTCTAAATGTGCAAAATATCTTAGTGGTTAAGATGGAGACTGCATTAGCATATTCGATGTTTAAAGGGAAGTTGCTGCATATGATATCTGTCTAAACGCAAAGAAGAAGTTAAAGTCTGAGATATATATATCCGAGTTTTAATGTGTTACACTTTTCTTTTCCTAGCTGGTGTCTATGACGACCTGCAACTTACACAGCTCGATGTGAAAAGCTGGGCTAATTTTCTCCCAGAACAAAAAAATCTTTTGCTCGTGAGGGAGACTAAAGGCGATGAAGCAAATGCAAAGAAGACAGAAAAAGGTGTTTATAGTTCAACATTTTCTGCAACTAGCGTTCCATTCAGTGGAACTTTTGTACCAGACACCTGTCTGAGAAAAAGACGTAGAAGTGATCAAAATAAGGGATTCTGTTGCAAAAGCAAAACAGCTGATCTTTTGTCCATGCCTACTGCAGGTAAGAGCAGCGAGATAACACAAAAAAATAAACAAAGCAAAACACGAAAACGGTTTTGGAAAGAATTCTTACTAATATTCTTTTGAATCAAACAGAACGCACAGTTTAATCTGTGTAACACAGGTTTCTAAATCAATCAATAGTTAATTCGAAATATGGAAATCACAAGCGGGTTCCCCCTAATTGATCTCATCGGCGTCTTTTTCAGACGAAGGTGGCCCCATCAAGCTGCACCAAGCACCCCTTCTTCCCATATTTACATCATTATCGACATCTGAAGTAGGCCGAGTAAGAAAGGATGACGACTGGCTGGATAGGAACCAAGAAAACTTTGTACCTTTCTCCCAGAAGGGTAAGTGAATTTTCTAGAAAAAGGCTATTTTAGTACGTTTTCCAGTTTACCATCGGAGTTGGGGCATGTATCATGCCCATTGAAGCAAAACTGATAAGTGGCTGCTTTAGTCGAGAGAGGGCCTTTTGTGAAAGTTTAATTGTATTTGCAATTTAGATCT